CTACACGTACCGTTTAAGTATTCATTTTTATATTTCGCCATGCATTCAGTGTGTTTATCGAGTATTTATTCATTAATGATAATATTTATTTACGCATATACAGATGTATTGAGTAATATTGATGGTACTGTGTTGTCCTTTTAATAAAATGCACATAATTCCTCATATATAAATCAAAACATATTTTAAATTACAAAACACTCTGACGTAAAGGGAGCTAAAATGTTCGATGTCGGATACAAATACTATTTCCCTATGAGTGTCCACCCCAAAACAATCAGGCTTTCAGTGAGTTACAGTCACTAACTAACGGGTTAACAGATCTAATCGATAATACCTACATGTATCTTGAAATTAATGACACCCCTGCGCTGTTGAGAGAACACGTCCACTTGACACACCCGAACGCTCTGTCGTAGCTTTGTTTATCATTGAAAGGGAGACTGCATCTCTGCGATGCTTCATGCGTATCACAAATACATACATGCAGATTATTCTGAATTCAATTTTCAATATTTTGTTCCCTACAAATAAATTAAATAATATAATGCAGCTATGTCAGATGCTGTTTCCTTTGTTACACAGGTACTTCTAAATTAATGCATAGCTATACTGATTTGAAAACGGTCCTTTATGGCATGACGGAAGTAGCAAATGGGAAGAAGTTGTTTTACAGGGGGCCCCAATGACTAGCATTGTCTTTCATTTATAACACCAATGAGTCAACTGATATGTGAAAATACCAGATAGAAGGAAACAATGTTACAAGTTTTAGTTTTTGTTTGTTTTTGTATTTTTGTATTATTGTATTTTATATTTTTTTAAGGGGTGTGTGTGGGGTGGGGGGTGGGGTGGGTGTGTGTGTGTGTGTGTGGAGAGGAGTTTAACAACACAGTTGATTTGACAGGACGGCTCGGAGTCTCATTATCATCTCATTATTATTATTATTATTATTATTATTATTATTATTATTATTATTATTATTTCTGTGTTTAGTCAGCACTTTACGGGCCTGAAAGAGGAAATGCTACTTGTCATCATTTAAACTCGTCATTTAAATTCATGTTGAGATCTCCATGGATTCGCTAGTTAATTACTTTCAAGGAACTTCCTTGCCACGTATTGTTTTTTAACGTGGGACGGTTTTAAACTTTTATTCAAGTACGATCACCACCGGGTATTAAGGTCAGCTAAAAACATTTTACAGCGGTTCGTTTTCCAAGAATTCCGCTTTTAACATGAACTTTATAGCGTTTCAATATTAACGTGTCGGAATCGCTAGAATTCCTGGTATGAATCCGACAGCGTACACCTGAAAAGAACTTCATACGCTGTACCCAGTTAACCACTTGACTACCTCAGCTTCACGCATCACATGAAAAGGAATCTAAACAAAACGGGTGCGATAATTTCGACAACTACATCAGTGATGACACCTGATAAGTGATAAGGCCTGCACTGCCGTTAGCACAAGCTTATGTGAATTCTCAAACACAATCTTGAGTGACGGCTCACGTGTACATAAATAAAAAGTGAGACCCCTTTAACCGGACTTTCGCTAACCCGGACCTTCACTAAAGCAGACTTAACGACCCTAGTAACCATGGGTGAATGACTATGGTTTTACGCCGCTTGTAGTAATATTCCAGCAATACTACGGCAGGGGAAAACAGAGTCGGGCTTCACACATTGTACCCTTGAACCTCTACTGAACCCGCCACGAGCGAATCCACTCGGTTTCTCGTATGTTAGAGGCGACTATGTTTGTTGTAAGAGGCTAACGGAATCGGGTGGTCAGGCGCGCTGTCTTGGGCGATGTCATTGTATCCCAATTGCGTGGTCCAGATTCGATTATATACAGACCGTCGTCATATAGCTATAATATTGCCGAGTGTGGCGTTAAACAACAAACAAACTAGGCAACCCCACGCCCCCCTCCCCCCTTATCCTTATACCGTTATCAATTTATGGATAACAACTTCTTTAATACTGTTAAGGCGACGTTTCGGTATAGATCCTTATACCGTTATCAATTTATGGATAACAACTTCTTTAATACTGTTAAGGCGACGTTTCGGTATAGATCCTTATACCGTTATCAATTTATGGATAACAACTTCTTTAATACTGTAAAGGCGACGTTTCGGTATAGATCCTTATACCGTTATCAATTTATGGATAACAACTTCTTTAATACTGTAAAGGCGACGTTTCGGTATAGATCCTTATACCGTTATCAATTTATGGATAACAACTTCTTTAATACTGTAAAGGCGACGTTTCGGTATAGATCCTTATACCGTTATCAATTTATGGATAACAACTTCTTTAGTACTGTAAAGGCGACGTTTCGGTATAGATCCTTATACCGTTATCAATTTATGGATAACAACTTCTTTAATACTGTAAAGGCGACGTTTCGGTATAGATCCTTATACCGTTATCAATTTATGGATAACAACTTCTTTAGTACTGTAAAGGCGACGTTTCGGTATAGATCCTTATACCGTTATCAATTTATGGATAACAACTTCTTTAGTACTGTAAAGGCGACGTTTCGGTATAGATCCTTATGCCGTTGTCAACGGTATAAGGATCTATACCAAAACGTTGCCTTTACAGTATTAAAGAAGTTGTTATCCATAAATTGTGTCTACTTTATACAAAAACGCGTTTTCTTTATAACGCAAAGATATAATTTTCTCGTTATTCAAAATAGAAATGACAAAAGACACATGTGTAAAATATCTTTGATGGTGGCAAAAAAATGGTTATTCGACAGGGATGTATAAGTTTGGTATTGTAGTTGTTCTTTTTAAGTTTACAGTGTTTCGGCGTCTGTTTTCAGGGCAGTCACGTTTTGATAAAGTTTGACCAAATAAAATTTTCATGACCATGTTCCCTTTTCCCCGTCAATTTTGGTTTCTCAGTTTTTTTTACATAAAAGTGTATTTTAATTACGTGAAGCCATAAGAGAAAAAAACAAAAGACACATATCTACGTTGCGGTCACCACGTACCCAACAGATGAAAAAAAGTCCACAAAAAAGTCCTGTCATAATAAAAAATATATGACGTTGGCGGAGACATAGCTCTAAGGTGTAAGTGTCAAGGCTCGTGGCGGAAAAGGAAAGGTATGTTTCTTTGCAACCACTGAAATAAAAAAAGTCCACCAACGTGACGATACAGTATTTCATAACGGTACGAAACCTCACGTTGACTGCAAAAGTTCATAATTGTATAAACTTCCGTAATTGTCCAGGAAGAAAACGTGGGTTGATGGAACAGCCTTAGCTAGTTTATGTAGACACGTTAAAGTACCTACTTTTTTGTGTCTACAAGCAAGCGTACATCTACGTCCGGGCGAATATTGAGCAAGGGAGTCATCGATATCGTGCCCTGGTAGACAGGTGTTGGTGACACGTGACTCATGAGCGAGGCGTCTTGATGGTAGATGCAGATGTCAAGGAAGTTTTTTGCTAAAACAGCAAAAAACGACATAGTTTTCACATTCGGGGTGAGCGAAAACGTACCAATTCTGATTCCTTCCCATCAGGATTCCGGGTTAAAATTGGTCCCCAACACCCTACGCTGGTCGTAAGAGGCGAGCAAATGGATTGGGTGGTCAGGATCGGTGACGTGGTTCATTGCGTGATCGTACCCCGATGACGTCGATTGTTGCTCACAGTATCAATCACTGGATTGTCTGATCTAGACTCAGTTACTTACAAGCCCCTGCATATGGTTGAAATGTTGTTCAGTGCGCGTTATAACAAACAACAAACAAACATTCCGATTCCAACAATAATCGATTGGGTGATGTTGGTTACCGTCTTTTCAATGGTTTTTCTTACAATACGCAACACGGGGCGGTCGGGTAGCTTAGTGGTTAAAGCGTTCGCTCGTCACGCCGAAGATCCGGGTTCGATTCCCGACATGGGTACAATGTGTGGAGCCCATTTCTGGTGTCCCCCACCGTGATATTGCTGGAATATTGCTAAAAGCGTCGTAAAACCATACTCACTCACTACAATACGCAAAACACTTGATCTATTTTTTTTAGATTCATGGAATATTTTCTTACATCTTCTCGCTGTCATCTTTCATATGGAAGCTTCGTGTCCGGTAAACCATTTCTTTTTTAAAGTGGAGATTGTTCATTATAACACTAATATGCACGGGAAGTAATCAGGATCCTTAACATGTGTACGTCATGGCTCACGGAATACAAAGCAGTAATCACAGGTTTAAAAGATACAGATTCCTAAACCGCATAAGTACGACGGTATAAACTTCCTCCTAACAAAAGATACTGCTAGGGACAAGGGCCTCATCCCCAAAATCGTATTTGAAAATTCAAGAGCAATACCTAAATCCCCACATGTTACATGCGTGTCCGTGAGCGAGGCCCGCACTGATCCTCCGGGCTAAATCTCAGACATGCGCGGTGAGGCATGTTTCTGTCACGTGACTACAAACGACGTACAAGAATTCTTCGTTTGACCTTTGAGATTGGAGGTCAACTTACGGGAAAGTAGAAGAAGACTTTTTCATCCCATAGTTCCTCGCGAGTATAAAATGAGAATTTTACATGTTCGCGTTTTAGAGTTGAGACGAATGACAGGGGTAAGTGGTCTAGCCAGTCACTTGGAGTTTTTTCTTTGCATTATTTTTTATTGATTATAAAAATACAGTTATTTTACAAAAACATATTCTGTGACAGACAATATATTTTTAAATTTTCAGATTTATGGATTTGTAAAGACCATATATTTATGAATATTACTATAAACAATAATAACTTAAGGAAGATTTGATATGTATGTAGACAATTCTCATATCTTTCTATGCTTAAAATCTGACATACTTTCCAACCATTTCGACGTCATTGTCATTGTTTGTATATTTCAATAACTTCTTTGCGTTTTCAAAACTTTTTAAAATTATATTTTAGATTTAAGAAAATAACTTATCACATTTTGCTTTGTGCTTGCAGGTGTAGGAAATGGTGGACTGTGTCCGGTCAAACTAGCCAGTGGTCGTTCGTTTTGTTTAAAGGAGTTCTGGAATATCCACTTCAATCGCTGTACACGGAGTCACAGGGGACGGGATACGTTGGTCGTAGGTGGACATGTCGCAATCAGCAACCATGCAGTCGGTTGCGAAGGTAAGACCACTTTGGAATGTTTGGAATATACATAGCCTGGTATCGATTGATAGATTAAAATTATTCTATTGTAGGATTCCTTTTAGTGTTTAATATCATCAACTAGTATTGATGAATATTGTACCCTGTCTGTCTGTCTGAGCGGTAGGTCAAGGGTTCGATCCCCTGCCGCGTCATACCTAAAGACGCTGACAGAGGATACGTGTTGTTACCCTGCCTGGCGCTCAGAATTAAAGGGCTAAAACAAGGACTGGTCTGCTCGGAGTCAGTATATAGTGACTGAGTGGGGTATTCATGTTAAACTGCGGCAAGGTGTCTCAGTGGGCTAGCACTATAAAATCAACATCAGTCAGGACTAGTAGGAGCTGTAACAAGCCCTCCCCCCCCCCCCCCCCCCCCCTCTCTCCCTCTCTCTCGCTCTCTCTCCCCCCCCCCCCCCTCTCTCTCTCTCCACATGCATACCCTTGTACGATTTGTGCCATATCTCATCACACACCATGTGCTGTTACATCTATTCACCATTCATTAAGTTTTTATCTTATATGGATTAGTAATTCTAGATACAAGGTATTTATAATATTATGGGATAAAGAATATGACTTTAAGATGGCAATGGGGTGAAGAAGATTGCTTGTTTCTTTTTACTGATGTGTATAACGAAGAAGACAATGATGATACGTCAATAAGACATATATTACCGTAATATATCTAACTCATGTTCGTAAATGGCTCTCTGGTTAATAACATTTTTCCATCCATTGAACTCAAAGCTTTTTCGAAAGATAATCGCCGAGAATCAACACCGATCGTGTTGAAGATTGATTCCAGTTAACCTTCTACTTTAAGGATTTGAACTAAAATCCAATAACTGTAGTGACTTTTTTTACTTCTTTAAATAATACAATAGCAATATAACGACAATCACGACAAATAGATTATGTTAAAACAAGCGACAAAAACATACATTCAATAATCATCAGAAATCTCAACAAAAAAGTCAGTCCATTGTACGATTTCGACTATTTTATAAACACGTTATCAAGAATCACTATCAAATAGTGATGACACCAGGTGTTCGCGAAACAACTTACAACCGGTTTCAACGTTTTTTATTCTGATTTTTTGACGTGCAAAACAAACCTACAAAAGCAAGTACACATGTACTGAAACATATACCTGTGTAGTCTCCGATACAAGTCCGACCAGGCGTATGAATATGATACAGAGAGCGTCACGCGGAAGTAAGAAAGTAGTGCGACACTGAAGCACGACGCAGCACCGGTGAGACACAGGTGTAAACAGAAGTCGGAGGGGAGTGATAGTTTTACAGGTGTCTATCCAGTAATCTCCTTGTCGCCTTTGTGATAACAAGAAAAACAAATACTTAAAACTCGCTGAGACAGCCAAGTCTGATGAACACAAACATCAAGTCAGATTCGGAGTTCCATAACGACAGCACGAAAACCATGTTCCCCATGAATGAGTGAAGGTTTTTAACCGTTATCCATGATAGGTTACGTGACTTATATCAATGTTTGTTTGTTTGTTGTTAAACGCCGCACTCAGCAATATTCCAGTTACATGACGGCGGTCTGTAAATAATCGAGTCTGGACCAGATAATCCAGGGATTACCATCATGAGCATCAATCCACGCAATTGGGATACTATGACGACATGCATCAACCAATTCAGCGAGCCTGACCACCTGATCCCGTTAGTCGCCTCTATTGACAATCATAGTCGCCTTTCCTTATATCAATGAATACGACGAACGTCTTCAATATCTCCTCGCTGTCTAAACTGCCGGGCAAAGGAAAACATACAACTGAAAATTAGATTTGACAAAAATATTACAAACGTTATCAAAACCGTGATACCTGTGTTAAATACATTACCATCGAAAAAACATTTCTTGTTTGTTTTATTCTTAACCATCATCAAATATTTGTGCATACCGTCTTTTACACGTCAGTTTATGTGATTTATTATATTCATGTAAAAGTATATGAAGATTCACTACGGTAGAAAGAAACCCCGTTAATATGGATAGCCAATCAAATCAAATGCTATTGTGACGTCATCTTGGAAGAAAGAAATACGGGTATGCCAGTTGAGAAGGATAATTACTCGGAGTGTTGTTATGCTATTACGCTTTTTAAATTTTTCATGCGTATTTGAACTCGAGCAAGTCAAAGTTGATTAGGTAGTGTTAATTTATTTTATTATGTGGATAATTGTCTATACTGAAATATATCACAGGTTAAACAAGTGTTGAATTTTAAGAGTTCAATCATATTAATAGTTAATTTTAAATCTTGTCCGGATTAATACATACCGGATTTACAAGTCTTGGATGCGGAGTAATGATGATGTAGATATACAAAGACGTTTTAACAAGCATGTCCAATAGGGAGGTTTCCAGATTAAAGGGGTTCGGAATATGTGGTTTCACTGTAGTTCCTGCCTCCTACTGTATTCAGGTCGTGTTCCCGAGTTTACTCTTCGTCATCATGTGGGTGCTGATGACGATGGAGAAGGTGACACTGGTGTGGACGCTCAGGATACTCCGACACGCTGACGTGTCATTTGAAGCGGGGTAAGTATTAGGCTTGTGAGTGAGTGACTGACTTGAGATTAAGGCTCCTTTATACTGTACTTCCGGTATACCAGGGCGTGTGCTTTATCTGGTATCAGCACCACGATCAGGGTATCCCCGGTGCTTGGAGGAAGGATTGATTGATTGTTTGTTGTTTAACGCCGCACTCAGCAATATTCCAGCTATATGACGGCGGTCTGTAAATAATCGAGTCTTTCATAACGTCTAGTGGGAACAAGCTGTCAATGAACTGGGTTCAAAGCCATTCTGACCATCATTGATAGGTTTTATCACTGCGTGTCAGCTTCTAGAGATACTATTGTCCATGATTATTTTAGTTTTTTCTTGTCTATGCATTATTACCATGTTTGAAACTGGGCTATTTTCGGTATAATTATATATTTATGTATTAAATAATTAACTCGAAAAAGTATCAATTTCAAACGTATACGTATACACACACGCGCACGCACGCACGCTATCCCGCACGCCCGCCCGCGCGGGTATGGTGCTGATTTTTTATTTATTTTAATATTCTCGTTATTTGTATATTATCATTATATATTTTATCATAAACAAACTATATTTAAAAAATTATAATCAGGTGGACCCCAGGATTCCCCGACTGATATTCTGTTTTAATCAATGTCATGTGTGCTTTACTTTGCCAGGTATTTCACTGTGGGACTTCTCATCCTGTTCCCGTACGTGTTCTCAATGTTCGAGATGCTATGGAACATCTCCTTCCTCACTGTGGCAAAAGAAACGCAGTTACCTCCCTTGAAGAATCTCGTTTTGGTGAGTACCTAAACGAAAGGATACTTTTTTAAGATTTCAAATCTTACAAGACTTTATTTGATATATATAAGTATATTTTTCATATCTCTTTCATCTGACGTTTAACTTTTTCAATTTCTTTTTGACGAGATTATTTATAGCAAATTCAAATTTGTTTACAGGGTATAACGGCTTGCATCGTGGAAAGCGCATGCGTAGTTGTGTTTACCACCGTTGTTGCTACTGTGCTTCCGGTGTTCATCATATTGCCGGCGATGAGTGGCGTCTTCTCAATCTCAATCATCATGAATGACATCAAGAAGGTACTTTATTCCTGTATCTGATAGCAGCCTTATTAAAGTTCATTCTAGAACATGTCCTACGTACATGTATACACAATAAATATACTACTCAAAAGAAGTAAAGGGCCACCCGATTCTTTCATATCACTTTAGTTAATCCGTCAGAAGTTAATATGAGGTGAGGTGAAATGGGGTTGAACGTCGCGTCCAAGATTATTGCACTTATATAGCGACGTGCATGTACGTGTGTGTGTGTGTTGTGCGAGTGAGTGAGTGAGTGAGTGAGTGAGTTTGGTTTTACGCCGCTTTTAGCAATATTCCAGCAATATCACGGCGGGGGACACCAGAAATGGGCTTCACACATCGTACCCATGTCGGGAATCGAACCCGGGTCTTCGGCGTGACGAGCGAACGCTTTAACAACTAGGCGACCCGACCGCCCCGTGTGTTGCGTGGCTGCTTGTACTAGTCCGGACTGATGGCGATTTAAAGTGCTAGCTCACTGAGATACCATGCCGCAGTTTAACATGAATACCCCACTCAGACACAGTATACTGACTCTTAGCCGACCAGTCCTTGCTTTAGCCCCTAAATGCCGAGCGCCAGCCAGGGTAACAACAAGTACCATCTTTTAACGTCTATTGGTATGACGCGGTCGGGGATCGAACCCCGGACCTTCCGCTCTCCCGAAGTTAATATGAAAGAAACGGGTGGCCCTTGACTCCCTCCGAATAGTATCAATTGCAAGTGATTCCCTGGCATGTGGTTGGCTAACCAAGCGATTTTTAGGCCACGCCCACGACTGGGTGTACCGTTTCCTGGTTGGCTGATAATTGCGTGGGCGGGGCCTGGGTTGCATCATTGTGCTGAACGAGGTCACCGTCACATTTTCGCATCGTTGTCTACAATTTTGTGCGTTAATGATTAAATAAGCAGTCTGTGAAGTTATTATTATTGACATACTTGTAATAAATGTTATATTTTGGATTCTCGTACTTTGTTAGGATTGAGTTCCGTCCGTGATTACACAAAGTACGTTGTCTGGACTACCTGTTGTCGGACTTCCATTTTTTTGTGGAAGCCTCGGTGGCTGAGAGGGTTAGATCGCTGACTTTATGTGCTGGCGATTAGGTCCCGGACGGGACTCAACCCCCCAAAAGTACGAGAATCTGAACTTTACTGAGAAAGTGTTATCCCAAATGTAACATTCTAAATGGCATTGTGTGTTCATTGACTTACTTATTCATAACAATTGAATGAAATTTGTTTTTGGGTTTATGGCGGATTTACAAAGTATGTACACCCGTTTGTACGTTTATACCCCCATAATTATCCTTTTTGAAATATTCGCTTAATACTAAATATGCAAAATATCTTGCATGCTGAAAGTGAATGGTAGGATGGATAGTATTGTTTATACATGAACTTTCTTTTGTTCAGTATCCATTATAGTTTGACACATACTTATACGCAATGCATTAACGTCTTTCGTTAACAAAAATATTCCCTTTTTATGAAGACTGATGACGAAGGCGGAGAGTCTAAAGGATCCCGATGCTTCCGTAGGAGAGCTATCGGAGGGATATACACAGTTATCGCCCCTAGCATGGCGGCCGGAGTTCTTTGGTTCTATGGAGTTCTTGGCTGGCTCCAGGCTATCAGCATGGGTGTATCAACTCTTGGACTGGCCATTGTGTGGACGTCATCGGTTCAGACCCAGATTCAGACAACAAGCCTTGGGTTCACTCCACACCCTAAGAGGGTTCAACTATTCTATGGGTTTCTAAGGACTATCTTTGTGATCGTGTTCCTAGCACTTGAAGTCTTCCTCAGGACCTCGGACTCCAGCGTGCAGGAGATGCTGACACAGTTCAGAGATAACTTCTCAGGGGTGCTGTCCTATAAGTTGATGCTACCTCTTGGACTAAACATGATGGCGGGGCTCTTTGCCCATGGATTCACGTACCTCTCTGTTGCGTTTTGTCAGCCTCTTGCAGGGATGGTCCTTCCATCGCTCCTGTCAACAGTAACGGCCATATTGCTGAGCGTGGGAGTGCTTGCACCTTATGTATACTTGGCTGAGGAGGTTCAGGATTTCGGCGGGACAACCCCTCTTCTCATCGCAAGTGGAATCCTTGCCATATCCTGGGCAGTTCCGTACATCATCAGGACGTCAGAGTTTGTGAGGAAGCCATCTTCTTTATACATACCCTTTGAGACAATGTTTCTCTCCTACGGATGGAGCAGTGTGTTCTTTGACCAGCACCTTCTCTTATCGTACCGTCATGATGGATTTGACAGAGCATTTACCTTAGGCAAGAATGCTGGAAAGACAAGCAGGATCTATGTCTGTACGACAATGTACAGAGAAGCTGATTACGAGACGGAAAGACTGCTCTACAGTCTGAGAGGGCTGAGTTTGTCTGAGAAATTCACTCAATGTTTACTAGAGGCTCACATATTCATGGATAATGGCGTCCGGGGGAGGGAACTTCAAGAGTTTGGTCAACAACTTATTGGTTTATTGGTCCAGAAACTTGGTATGGATATAGAACATGCTAAGACAATAGAGACACCGTATGGGGTACAGCTGAGATGGACCTTCCCTGGGGGGATGCCTGTATTTGTACATTTTAAAGATCCTGGCAAGGTGAAACCAAAGAAGAGATGGAGCCAGTGTATGTACATAAACTACGTCATGAAATACAGAAAGATCATCGGGGAGAAGAACTGTCAGAACATGAAACTCACCAAGTCACCCACAAGCGAAACTTTAGCTTCCAACGATTCTACTTACGATGCTGATCCTGTCAAATCCAACAGCTTCGTTCTGAAAGAGTTCAACAAGACGATGGAGTCATTATACCCCGGACTTGATAGATACACAAAGACAGACCACATGGACAGCGATGACCAAGGTTTTGCCTCAGTCGACGAATCTTCCCCTCCCATAAGCCATAGCAGCTCACAAGCTAGGCTGGACACCGAAAGCACCGACTCTAACTCTGTGGATCTTGACCAGAAAGATGAGCCTCGGAAAGGAGTCTTTAATCTTGGATTTACTGACGATAACGGAAAATCATTTCCTATCAAGGGAGGTCAACCTGGCGTAACTTCCGGTGCAGGATTCATCCCAGAAGGAAGAAAATTGGACGGAGAACGTGACCCCTGGTCAAAGGAAGGAGGTCAAATCAGAGTTAACCTGGACACCGAGTATGATGATGACCACACCTACATCCTTGCTACTGATGCTGACATGGAGTTTAAAGATGATGCGGTCCTGGAGTTACTTCACCTTTGTAACAGTGACAACCGACTAGGGGGCGCTTGTGGACGAACACATCCAGTTGGGAAGCATGTCAGTTCCATTGTATGGCATCAGAAGTTTGAATATGCAAAAGGTAAGGTCGAATCTTTTACTTGAGCTACACATCCTAGATCGTAATCACTACCAGTTTTAACAATATCCCAGCATTATCACGGCTGGGACACCTGAAAGAAATGTGATTCAAACATTGTCCTCATGTGGTGAATCAAACTCGGGTCTTTGGCATGACGGGTGAAATTTAAACCACTAGGCTACCCCGTCGCCCCACATAATACTGTGACTTAGCACGCGTTAAAGCATGAAAGCAATTGAAGCGATTAATCCAAAACTATGTTTTACTGAGAATCCTTCTTCTTCTTCTATGTGAGAGAATTTAAAAACGTGATTTGGACAATAATCTTTTCTTTTTTTCCCCTTTATATTATCATTATTTATTTTAATTTTTTTTATTATTATTATTATTATTATTATTTTTTTTTGGGGGGGGGGGGATATTCAGATACACATTGGATTATGTGATAACTATTAATATCCTAATACATGTGCATTACTTTCATTTGTTTATAAGAAAACAATACTTTCAATGATTTGTACTTCATGTTCTTAAATTGGCAGATTTCTGGATGATCAAGAATGCCCAAAATGTTATCGGCTCGGTGATGTGCGCGCCTGGGTGCTTCAGCCTGTATCGTGCTAGCGCCATCAATGACGTCATGAAGAAATATGCCACACCCACACAGACCCCGTTCACTGTATATGTCAAGGACACAGGTATGGTCTCATGGCTATGTTATATAATAATGTGGTTATTGCTGCCATAACGTCCTGAATTGTGCATTATTATTCTTTTGTGGTTGCTCAGTTACATAATTGCATGATTATATTCAATTTGTTATTGAATGTTGGAATTTGGAATCGGTTTCATGGTTGTGTGTGAGTGAGTTTGGTTTTACGCCGCTTTTAGCAATATTCCAGCAATATCACGGCGGGGGACACCTGAAATGGGCTTCACACATTGTACCCATGTCGGGATTCGAACCCGGGTCTTCGGCGTGACGAGCGATCGCTTTTACCACTAGGCTACCCGACAGCCCCCATGGTTGTGAAATGAACTAGGTGCATGATACTATTATATATGTCAATGGGTACATAGTCATCTGATTAAGAGTTGCACAGTCAACATGATGATTGGTTATTATTAATTGCTTGAAGGGCATTTTTTAGAAGTGACGTCAAAGTAGACACAAATTATGGATAAGAACTTGTTTACTGTAATAGAGACGTTTCATTTTATATCCTTATACCGCTGTCAAGAAACCGTTGTTGCTATTACTGTAAATAATGATTCTGAAGTCGTTATCGATAAACTGTGTCCGATAAATTATTGTTTTGTACTGCTGTGCGGCGTTAGACAACAAATTGTATGAGTGGCGGGTGCTTAAAGGTGAAAAGCCCCAGTGGCAAAAAACTGAAGGAATATAAAAACTTGAATACTAGATGGGAGACTGTGGGAGCGCTGAGTGGGGTAGAATCTATGCCAGTTCATCACCGGTTAGACCAACGATGAAAAAAATGGTAGGCCGACGAAATCTATATCTTTCAAAGAGCTCTTCGTCGTTGAACATATCAACAGAATTGAAGCAGTCTCGAAATGTCCGCTGAATTGGTATTTGTTTCCTTTTTAGCCCCGCGGCGACGCATGAGGCGAATAGCCTCCGCCATCTTTCTTGCAACAAATTTGGGGCAGGGGCAGTCTTAAGACCATATTTAGTCTTACTTCTTAAGATTAAGACTTAAGACTAAATTTTGCCTTAGACTTAAAATATTCTCATTGAATGAACTTGTGATCCCCGATTTAAGACAAATTTTGGTCTTAGGTCTAAAACTTAAGAATTAAGACTAAATATGGTCTTAAGTTAGTTTCATGATCCTGGGGCCTGGTGTCATCACTGATTTGCACCACCCTTTTGCCTTTTGCCCCATGGAATCTGTTTCGGCAGATAATGGAGACTGGTTATTCTCTGGCGTTGACTTTTAATATTTCTGTCATGGTTACACGGTTAACTTGATGCATGATATTTTTATTATCATCATGTTGTATGTTTACATTGTTTTAAATCTGATCATCATTTGCTGCGGTCGTATTTTCCACGTCTATTGTTCGTTAACCACTGAACTTAAAATTGCAAAAATGGAAGTTTTCGTTTTCTCGTCGCATTATCCACTACGACTACATAACGGAAGGGAACGTCTGAACGGTTAACAGAAAAGTGAAGTGTACAAACACTAGTGGTATACATACTGCTCAACTTTCGATAAGGATAATTTGGCATCCAGTGAAGACTGTTCCCATGGTGTTCGATATTGCCATGAAACTGACGCATTTTCAGCTTCCGTTCAAGTTACAATAAAGAGAAGTTTTCTGGTTTCTGAGTGTCACAAAAGCATTAAATACCCCAGTGCCAGTATTAAACAAACAATACATTTTTATTCGATGGAGATGTATTTGATACGACTGTAAGAGTTGTGTTTTGGACCTTGAGTTTGCAGTGTTTCGGCGACTGTTTTCAGTCTCGGAATCATACGTACTGATTGCACATTCCGACAAATTGACTGATGTGCTACCTTAGGGATATAAGCTTATGCGGCTAGGCACATCGTCAGCTGTCAGATAATTACAAAACTCGAATTGATTTAACCTAATCCTTTGTGTAGGCGACTTGGACTCGTAGGGGCCTCAGAATGGGTTGATGCCGAACGTCTTAGAGTTCCTTTTCAAAATAACTGAGTCAGTGAGGGAGTGAATCTTATTTAAACGCCGCATCGAAAGTCTTTCATTTATATAACGTCGTGTCAGCTTGATATTAGAGGATAGCCGAGGTTGTGTAGGTCTTAGACGTTTATCAGGGGCGGTACGGTAGCCTACTGGTTAAATCGTTCGCTCTTCGCGCCGAAGACCCGGGTTCGATTCCTACATGTGTACCACGTGTGGAGCCATTTATGGTGTTCCCGTCCGTGATATTGCTCGAATATTGCAAAAGCGGCTTATAACCATACTCACTCACTCATTAGACGTTTACCAGTAAATGAAATATATTTGGTTCCTTTGGGATGTTCTCCTACTTTAAACTGAAGTTCCAATGTAAGAGAAATTATATTTAAAGTGGCGTTAAACCAGACTCTCTCGTATAATTTAATGTTGCTGTTGGCAAATCAACAAATGTTTCAGTTCGACATTGATGTTTGTTGAACCAGTTTTCACCCTTTGTAAGGCCGAGTTTTTTAGCATAGCGCGAATTCCTGTCTGAGTAAACATATTCTACGCATTTTGCATTGAAAGGGCAAGGCAAGTGAGAACACTGACGGCAATGACCTTTGTTGACCTTTGTTCCAGGGTACGCGGTGCCCGTATGGCACTGGAAACAGTGGTCGTGCACATATGTCAGCATGCATTGTAGGACAAAGTAGGAATGTCAAACAGGATTTCATCCCAGATAAACTGCCAGCCAACAGAAAGAATACTCTTAAAAAATAGATTTCATTTGTTATCTGCATTACAACACTAAGGCTTCATCACTTGTTTCCATGACAACATAAAACATGATTAACAGTAACCATGACAACATAAAACATCACTCCAATGACGACATACATGAAAGTGTAGACTTGGAAATAGGATTTGTTCAAAGAATGACAGACGTTATTCAAACATAACTAGGCTGAATACAGTCAATGACTGACCTTACAAACCCTAGGTCCAACACAATACATCCAACGAATAACCATTTCTTTTTTGTTCCATCGTAACCGACATCAGACATGGCTGATTCTTTCCTTCGCGCGGCATATGCTACACCTTCCTGAAAATATTTTATCAAGGGATAGCAGTTTTTATTTCACAAAAAGATCAAATGTGTATGTTTGAAATCACCTTGTATTGTGTTATGTCATATTGCTTATCATACTGTTGAAAGCGGCATAAAACCAAGCTCACTCAGCCACTATCGTCTATTATGTATATTAAGAATGTATGTATAATTATGTCAACGCCGTCTTCAGTAATATTATTGTAAGATGTTCACAAGCAATTCAAACATGTTAACTTAACGTCGTCATGAATTGACTGGTGTGTTACGGTTGCCACCGGTGGGGCGGGAAACGATCACCTGGGCCCACTTGCACAAAGCGATCTTAGCGCTAAGACTATTGTAAGACTATGCTAAAGTATGGGAGTTACGATCATCTTAGCGCTAAGATCGCTTTGTGCAAGTGGGCCCTGGTGTCATTAGTACCAGTATTTGAAAGTGATTCATCAACAGATGCTTATGATATATTCGGAATCTTACAAGGGATTCTGCATTTAGTATAGATTTCTATGAATATGGAAATGGTATTGTAGTTATTTGTAATAAAATGTAGTCATCATATTTTGGTATATCCATACTCGGGTTGGTCCACTATTACTTCAAGTGTCCCGCTAGCAGTTATGTCTCTCAAGCCGTCACACATGATGTATGATAAATTGTGTAAACAAGAAGGAAGTGTAAGTGCAGTATTTCTTGTTTACATGAGCTATTCCGCTTGAAACAAAAGTAAGAAGGTACATTTGTGTATGGGCGTTGAGAGTGTCAGCTCAGCCCCCACTGGGCATTCCACGTGGATGTCTAACGTACATCAGTTAATCTTTCACAGAGGTCGCGATGCATCGTAGGCCGGCTCCGAGAGTGTCACGGCCAACTCCACGTTTAAACACCGACGTGCTGATACGTCTTCTACGTCAGGGAGGGGGAGAGAGAACGCAGGGGGTTAGAGAAGAAAGCCCAACCTGCTTTTGAAGTCCACGCTGACCCTAGTGACGGGCAGGTGTTAAGAGACGTGTTGGTATAGGAATTCTGTGGAGGTGTGAAAAATATATTACTGTAGAATGACGAGTGATGGAGGGGGCGATAGAGCTTTGGCTTCAAATATGATACATTGTTGGTCAAATAGTGGACAGTTAAATCTCTATTGTTTTTAGACTTTTGTTATAATGAGTGAGCGAATATGGTTTTAAGCGGATTTTGATAATATTCCAGCAATGTTGTGGATGGGACTTCTGAAATAGGTCGCACACGGTTCCTATTTTTAATAGTAGCTAGTGTATATGGTTGGGTATTGTGTGTATGTACATGAAGGACCAGAGATAAAGAGGAGTTGGATAGTTTCTCTATCTAACATAGGAATTATTTGGAGTTACCTTTCCTGTGACTTGAGCTGAGCCTTGTAGCGCTGTGGCACACTAATCGTAGATTGATTAAACCCATTACTCCATAGATACAGTCACAAATGGAGGCATGGTTGTATGGATTGGTATCATAGCGATTGAATAATTGAATGAAAGGATGGTTGAATGATTGCGGTAGAGATGCATGAAATAGATGAACAGATAAAATGGTGAGTGAGTGAGTTGGGTTTAACGCCGCTTTTAACAGTATTCCTGTTATATCACGGCGTGTCAGCTTAATGTGGGGGGAAAGCCCGAAGTGATGCAGGTCTCAGACGTTTACCACTTCGGTGAAACCAACGAGCACGGTATGGTGCTGACAAACCTAGAAACATAATCGGGGCGAACCGGGATTCGAACCCACAATCATAGGTTTCTGGCGTGGCCAAGGGACGCAACTCTGCACAGCGAATCGCGGCGCCTTAGACGACTGGGCCACCCGTGCCCCCGCATCATTCTATTGAATTCTGTTTGCATTTCTTCATATAAGCCTCGATGTATAGCGCGGTTTACTGTTTACTGACACCCCCATTCCCTCCCCCCTCCCCCCTCTCTCTCTCTCTCATACACACACACAAACACAAACCCAGACATACACACACACACACACACACACACTTCTGTTCCTAAAGACGTTAAAAGACGGTTCTTGTTGTTACCCTGCCTGGCGCTCTCCATTAATGTACTAAAACTAGGACTGGTCGGCTCGGAGTCAGTTTATACTGAGTGGGGTGCGTTATTCATGATAAACTGCGTCATGGTATCTCAGTGGGCTAGCAGTGTAAAATCGGCATTAGTCCGGACGAGTACAAGCAGCCACACACACACACACACACACACACACACACACACACACACACGGAAGGTCTTAGCTAACATTATCTGCTTGTATTGAAGGCGAGGACAGATGGATGGCCACACTGATGATGATCAACGGATGGCGTCTTCGCTTCTCCGCCTTCGCCGACAACACCACCTACTGCCCCGACACATTCGAGGAATTCTTCAAACAACGACGTCGTTGGATCCTCTCCGACATCGCCAACGCCCTCCTCGTGGTCCAGAACCTTGTACGCCTCGTCCGCAACAACGACTGCTTTACCTTCGTCTACGTCAGCTACCTCGTCAACATGTTCGTCAACAACGTCATCACACCCGGCACCGCTATTGTCATGATCACTGCTGGTCTGGAGCTGGTGTTCGACGTCCCCTACATATACACGACTGTGCCCATGGCTGTTATTGTATACGCCTATGCAATATTCTGCACCAAGGCCAGCACTCGATGGCAGACCATTGCGACATCGGTGTTGACCTTCTTTATGGGAATAGTGTTCTTTGCGGTTGCAGTCTGGGGGTCGTATAAGATCGTTGCTACAATGGTCAACGGTAAGTCGAACTTGTTAATGTTGGATATATAAAGTAACACCTCTTTAAGTCGGAGTCCATTGGGCCAACAAAATTGTCCTGTTATTCGAAGTTCGAGACAGAATGTTGATATTGGACCAAAGTGACCACGAAGATCTCAAACACAGAATCCAGACCATACAATTATATTTTAAGCGGTATATCGAGTAAAAGGACTTCGATTTGACGATGTTTTACAGAGGGAATATGGGGCAATTGTGGCGGATATACATTGTATTTTCTTTCTGATGTCCGATGATGTAATTCTCTGTTTTGACTTTACCATATGTTCCCGTGTTTGTTCACTGAATAATTGACTTGCCTTTGCATGTGTTGCGTATACCCTGTTAGAGTGATTCATAATCACTTGTTTATTATACAATCGGAATCGGAAAATTGGTTATGAAAAGAGTTTCATCGCTTTTTATATTAATCAACTCTTCAACTGCAAATTGTGCTGAATGTAACTATTGATCTGTAAGTCATATAGTGCGTGATCCAATTGACACTTCAATTTTAGTTTTTTAAATGCGTTGATGTAATTTTACTTCAGCATTCATGTATCCTAAGAATAAGCTTGACACAATGTTACCAAGCGGGCAATCTAACTCAGTTTTCGGCCTGAATGTTGTAACCACTAGGCGATGTCCCCATTCAGTTGATATAAATCTGAGACGGCGATAGAAACGTCTATCCGGAGTGCGGAAGATCTGGGGTTCGATCCCTGGCCGTATCATACCAAAATGTGTTTAAAGATGGTGCGTGTGCCTGGCGCTCGGCATTAAGGGACTAAAACAAGGGCTGCTCGACTCGGAGTGTACCGTGTCTGAGTTGGTACTTCAGTGGGCACTATAAAACCGGCATTTGCCTGGACAAGCAGCTGCCAATAATCCTGAACACAGTACATCTTCAATCGAAAGGTTCGACAGCGAATAATGACATGTTTCCTCGTACTGCTAGATCATGCATTTCGTAGCTATACAAATATATCAAATCTTACGCAGTTCTGTTATGTTTCAGAAATATTCATCGGTCACTTCCGGTTTCAACAACATTACGTCATTCTGATGTTGACCCTGAGTCTGGTATACGCCGCTCTGGCCCATCCCAGGGAAAGCTACCAGATTGTGTATGGCTTCGCCTACCTCTTCATCTTCCCCGCCATGCACGTCCTTCTTCCCATCTACAGCATCGCCAACATCATCGACCAGAGTTGGGGCACCCGAGACTCGGTATGTCAGGCGTAGCAAGTTTTAGATTTACTGATTACCTCTCTTCAGGCTCGGTGACTTGGTTAGGGCGTTGTTCATAATATCAATCACTGTTTTGTGATTTTGTGTGACTCGAGTATTTAGAGACTGTGATATAACTGGAATACGGTTTACCATTCATGTACTTTTCACCGCAATTTTACCTTTTACGCCCAATGGAATCTGTTTCGGTGGATAATCGAGACTGGTTATTCTCTGGCATTGACGTTTTATATTTACCGTGGCGTTTAACATCAAACAAAACATACAGTAATCTACGGTTATAACGAACAGGGACCCCTTATTTGAGTTCGTTAAAACCGTAGTTCGTTATAGGCACATATGCACCCAATATACAACAAATCGACAAGAACCACCAACAGTTCGTTATATCCGTCAGAACGGTATAAGCGTGTTCGCTATAAATGTAGTTGTTGTTGGTTTGTTGTTTAACGCCGCACTCAGCAATATTTCAGCTATATGACGGCGGTCTGTTAATAATCGAGTCTGGACCAGACAATCCAGTGATTAATATCATGAACATCGATCCACGAAATTGGGATCGATGACATGCATCAACCAAGTCAGCGAGCCTGACCACCCGATCCCGTTAGTCGCCTTTTATAAACGTAGTTGACTGTAGTTGAGAATTCAACGTTCTAATTTCACCTCAAATCCATTGCAGCGTGAGAAGGTTCATAGTTACGTATACAATTAACTATGGTTATAACGAACTCAAAGGGACCACTAATTGTAATTCGTTATAACCGTAGTTCGTTTTAAGCACATATACAGCAAAAACGGGACCAAAAACAGTTCGTTACATCCGGTACAGTTTGTTATAAGTGTGTTCGTTATAAAGTTTTATGTAGCTAATAATAGTTTTATGAGAATAATTAATGTTCAAATGTCTGAATGCATTTTGTGAAGAAAGTAAATTCATTTTTATCAACTTTAGGTTTATTATATTGAATGGGTATAGAGAGGATTATTCCACTTCCACAGTATTGAATTCAACCTTCCGTGCTGGTATAGTACTCAGTTTGAACCGTTTTGTAATGGCCTGTTCACTCTTTCAGACGAAGGCTAAAATACCGAAACTGACTTGTCTGGCGCCCTTGAAGAAGTTCAGAAGGAAGAAGAAAAACAAAGGTGGACGGAACGAGGGTATGTTGTGGTTTTAACGGACCGCATCTGTGGTCTAGTGGTAGAATGTCCGCCCTGAGAGCGGAAGGTCGTGGGTTCGATCCCCGGCCGCGTCATACCAAAAGATGGTTTAAAGATGGCACTTGTTACCCTGGCTGGCGCTCGGCATTAAGGGGCTAAAACAAGGACTGGTCGGCTTGGAGTCAGTATACTGTGTCTAAGTGGGGTATTCATGTTAAACTGCGGCATGGTATCTCAGTTGGCTAGCACTATGAATCGGCATCAGTCCGGACTAGTACAAGCAGCCACACACACACGTGTATGCACTTCGCTTTATTAGTGCAATAATCTCGGACGCGACGTTAAACCTCATTTCACCTCACCTTTCACCCTATAAGAACGCAATCATAGAAATCAAAACGCAACTTTCGCGAATACCTAGTGCATCACTGATTTTCTGTGATACATGCATAAAATATATATCACTATTATATATTAGAATCTGTTTCTGCTGATAATCGAGTATGGTTAATCTCTGGCAATGCGGTTGATATTTCCTGAAAAGACAGTGGATGTGTCCCGAGAATATAAACAACTTTTACAACAAGTATAATATCACAATATTACAAAAAAATAATTATATTTCATAATATTTTCCTATAAGATTCAATGTAATGTATATTTTTTTTTTTAGATGACAATGAACTTTTGAAAGAAACTGTGGCTTCACAAATTACCAACATGACGGACGGAAATGAAGAAGACCGGAACGAAAATGCATTCTGGGAAAACCTGCGCGGTTCTCTTCTCGGAAATGACGTCAACCTTGGACTAGAGAAAGAGGAGCTGGCAGAACGCTTGCGGATAATGAGGAATAGAAGCTTGACGGCCGTGTTGGTCATAAACGCTTTATGGCTGGCCCTTCTGTCGTTTTTCTACATGGGAGTGTCATCGCCTCTGTCCCGTCTTAACGTCTATGGCGTCATTAGTGGCGCCCTTTATGGTTTCACTTTGACGATACAAGTTATCGGACTTACAGTGTGCAGAGTGAACTATCTACTCCGCAAGCTCGCGAGGTGTTTATACGGTGACGTCCGGCCGATGTGGGTATGTGAGAAGAAGTGAATAGTCGATGGACATAATTCACCTGTCCTTTGTTGTCCATATATTTAAGAATTTTTTCTTAAACTGAGGACATAATGGACATCCTTACTGGTCCTGAAAAAATGGACATTGTGTATATGGTCTGTGTAAATGGTCAAACGGTAAATCAAAAATCAAACTGTCTTTCGCTGGACTTACGGAAACTAATCCTAGATACGCCCACAGCTATCTGACCGTGTGTACGTCCGTACGGGACCGTCTTGTCTAACTGTATTGTTAAAGTGTTCTTAGGGGTGTTGTAACAGCTGACGACATCCAAAAACTTAATGACCTTAAAATGGCAAACGATTCGTGGGTCTAAATGGTCCTAAGGTTCAGTATATTGAAAAGGAACTATGAATAATATACATTGTATTATAAAGATAAGTGTTATTCCATCAATTAGATATTAACCTCTGCCACGAGGAAATATATGTAATATTGTTTGTTTGTTGTTTAACGCCGCACTCAGCAATTAACTATGAGTCTTATATTAACAGTATGTTTTTATTTCAAAAAAGCAAAACAAACAAAAGTCATGAAAAGTAAATTTTTGGAGACCCAAACACTTAGACATTTTGCTAGAAATACATTTGGTCCAACAAGTTAATCTTCTAATCGGTTAAAGTCATTTTTGATAAATATAATATACTGAAGTCAGGGATCATGAATATGTTTTGGGTTTATTTTTATGATATTGTGTCCTCAGTCTTCACAATAAAAAATATCCCCCAAAACTTCATGACTCCTAACACTTTCTGTTCAGTTGATGTTGATGGTGATGATGAGTACAATGATGATGATACTGTCTATAATACTGTATATACTAGCTGTATTTGTATTTATATAATTGTACATTTTTATAATAAATATGATAACCAATTTTTCTTTCTTGATATTTTCTTTCTGAATATGCCATTCGATGAACTGATGCTTTGTGGATGAATGAATTCAGCGTTGTTTTGAACATTGTTTTAACTGTTGCGTCTTATGAATGGATTCGTAAAAATGTAGGAACCTACAACGTGAATGAAAACAAGTGGTGGGGAAGACTTGATTACAACCAGAGCTATCCTGCTACAGCAAAGGGAGGTAACTAAGGGATCGCGTGTTTCACGTTTAAAAAAGTCAACTTGAATTATATCTTGGTTTAGGTAAGTTAGAGCATACCCAATATAACTTTGATTATGTAATTAAAAAGAATACCACGACATAAGGTGTAGGTTTATCATGCGGGTTTGAAGGCGGATTCACTGAAAGCAGCATGATCTGCAGATATTTCTGCGATTCTCTAAGTATGTCTTACCACGTGGGGCAGGATAGGTCCGCCTGTGCAAAAATACACGCATACACACATATACACAGACACTCACAGATACACAACACAGACACTCACAGATACACAACACAGACACTCACAGATACACAACACAGACACACACAGACACATATTTGAATACAGAATGCGTTTTATACGCACACATACAGTCAACTACGTTTATAACGAACACGCTTATATGGAACTGACGGATATAAGGCACTGTTTTTCGGTTCCGTACATTCGCTGTATATATGCTCATAATGCACTACGGTTTTAACGAACTAAAATAAGTGATCCCTTTGAGTTCATTTGAGTTTGTCTCACACACACACACACACACAAACTCACACACACACACACACACACACACACACACACACACACACACACACACATAGTTGTGTTGACCAGAGCAAAATGAGAATAATAAAATTGTAAATTACAGATTTAGTAACAGACCAAGAGATAAGTTTGTCCAACAAATACTGCTTACCTAAAGCTACACAACAGCAAACTGTTTAATATTTTGGCAGACCACGTGTTTTCCTAATACATGCTTCAGCTTGGCATATAGCCTATCAAGGAGGTTAGAAAATCACGAGTCTTTGCCAATATCTCACCATTTCTGCTTTCATATCACACATATATTTAAGATTTTTTTATTGATATTGTCCTTCATGATTCCAAAAACATTTTCAGTTGGGTTCAGGTACGGACTGTAGCTGGGCCATTCCAGGAGTGGAACATTTTGCTCGTTAAACCATTCCTGAGAATACTTCGCTCTGTGTTTTGGATCATCGTCTTGCTGGTATACCCACTGGTCACCATATAAAAAAACTTGTTCTGTTTGAAAGAGATGTCCCTGTACAATGTCAGTGCACACTTCACTAGTCATGTTACTTCAAATACGCATAATGGTGTGGCACCCAACACAGACACCCAACCCCACACATGAAATTTAGGACTGTACTTTGGACACTTGTAAATTGTGTTTTTTCTGTACCTTTGTCAACATTTTTATGCAGCTTGGGTAGAGCCACACTGAACTTTCATCTGAGAACATAACTCTGTCCTCACTGGAATTTCTATGCTCCAAACACAAGTTTGCCGTTCAGGTTTCAAGAGTGGTGATGCGATTCATAGTAATGTCTGCCAATCATGAACATGACATTCATGAACTGTTTCTCTATTAACAATTCCATGGCTAATATTTTCTCTGCTCATGTGTCTGTTTTTGACGCCAGTATATCAAATCTCATTCTGTCACCAACAGTGAATTTTCTGTACTTAATTTCAACGCCACTCTCAATATATTTTCAAAGCACGGTACACAGTTGATGGTGAAATGTCTGACTCTCCGTAATGACCTTTGCTGATTTGATTCCTTGATTGCATAATTCAGAAATAATCTGCTTCTTTTTTTTTAAAAAAAGCTGTTCTTGTTTGCCGTCTGCTTTCTTGTTTACCAAGGGAGACAACTCCGGTCATACTTTACAAATACGACATGCGGAGTTGTCTCCCTTGAATCAAAGTCCGACTAAGTTCCACATACACCTTTGATATGGTAAATTGTGAAGGCCAAAATGGTATGAAAAATTCTCAATAATTTCTGGTCAAACTATACGCAGAAAAATACATTCGGTTACACAGACAAACAGACATACGTACATATATACAAACACAGACACACATGTACACACAGACCCAGACAAAGACACACAGACACACACACGTACCCAAATACACATGCATAAAGTATTCTAAACGATTTTAAGCACATCATTCCAGTTGACAGCTATAGAGTGCTATATCTTCTGTATGCATGAAGATTTGTTTGTCGGGTTGTTTAACGCCGCACTCAGCAATATTTCAGCTTTATGACGGCGGTCTGCAAATAATTGACTCTGGACCAGACAATCCACTGATTTATAACATGAGCATCGATCCACGCAAATGGGATACGATGACATGCATCAACCAAGTCAGCGAGTTGACCACCCGATCCCGTTAGTCGCCTCTTACGACAAGCATGGGTTGCTAACCCGTGATCTTCACGGTCGGTATGCATGAAATGTTTTACGCGATTAGAACATAGCTTTGAAACTGTCTGCTTTAGAATATCCAATTCCCAGGATAAATGAATGTTGATAAAACTTTAGAATTAAATCCAGGGAAGGATGTATATCATAATAAAAGAAAGTGTTTTATGATTTTCAAAACTGCCCATTATACAGGGAATACCTTAACCAAGATACAATACGTTCCAAGTGTGTAAAGTCCTTTGACTTTGTGGCCTTATAAAGATTCTAACACGTACAGTCTCTCTACTCGACACATGGCACAACGTGCAGCAAGCAGCTCATCCGATGAGAAGATGAAAACAAAAACAAACGAAACATTGGTTTATTTTAAATTATTTTACTAAAATCATTTAAAACAGTTAAAACACATTCAACAAATCAAGCTAAAACAGTAAACAGCGCTATACATCGAGGCTTTTAAGAAGAAATGCAAACAGAATTCAATAGAATAATGCGGGGGCCCAGTCGTCTAAGGCGCCGCGATTCGCCTGGCAGAGTTGCGTCCCTTGGGCACGCCAGAAACCTATGATTGTGGGTTCGAATCCCGGTTCGCCCCGATTATGTTTCTAGGTTTGTCAGCACCATACCCGTGCTCGTGGGTTTCACCGAAGTGGTAAGCGTCTGAGACCTGCATCACTTCGGGCTTTCGTCCCCCATTAAGCTGACACGCCGTGATGTAACTGGAATACTGTTAAAAACGGCGTTAAACCCAAATCACTCACCCCATAGAATTATGTATTACGTCAGATGTAATGGGTCATTTCAGACATTGACTGCTCATTGCTCACTGGGAAGTACACGCCCACAGACGAATACCATTCGATATAGCCATGTTACTAGCGTATTTTCTGCTTCATTGAAAACCAATTGGAGTTAATACAGTTAAATAGTTTTTACAGTACAGTAAACTACGTTTATAACGAACACGCTTACAACGAACTTACCGATATAACGAAATTATCTTTTTAGGCCCGGACATTTGTTGTATATATGCTTGCTTATTACGAACTAAATTAAGTGGTCCCTTTGAGTTCGTTATAACCGTAGTTTACTGTATTGCTTAGAGTTGGGTGTACGTGTGAACATTTGAAAAATGAAAACAATGGTATTTCGTAAAAATGGAAATCTGAAACAGAATATAAACTTGGACGAATGATAATAGTCATATTGAAATTGTCAACCAGTTTAATTGGAGCGGTCGGGTAGCCTAGTGGTTAAAGCGTTCGCTCGTCACGCCGAAGACCCGGGGTCGATTCCCGACATGGGTACAATGTGTGAAGCCCATTTCTGGTGTCCCCCGCCGTGATATTGCTGGAATATTGCTAAAAGCGGCGTAAAACCATACTCACTCAACCAGTTTAACTATCCGGGTAATATGTTGTACAGGTAGTAGTTCAGTTTCACAGAAATCTTCAGTTGGCAAGGGACTCAAAACTAAACATGTTCAGAACATAACATTTGTAAGAGTATTTTTTATTTTTCAAATTTTGGATTTTTTTGGAAGTAGCAATCCTGCAGTATGGTTGTCAAATAATGGGGATAACAAAGACGTGTGACTTTGAGGTGAAAACGTATTTTTAATAAATCCCAAACACATGAAAACAAACCCTGCAGTGACCCCACTCAAGGTACAAGTAGTTATACAAGTAAGACGTTAGGCAACAAGGAACATTTGTTTGTGCAAATTGTGAGTGGCGGGTTGTACTGGGTCGAGCAGGCATGCTTCCTTTTTTCGCGAACACCTGGTGTCATCAATTTTTAGCGTTCCAGTCACATAACTTTTATAACAATTTTGCCTTTCACTCTCAACGTAATCTGTTTCGACAGATGACCGAGACTGATTATTCCCTTGATTTACGTTGTATATTTTGGTTAGGAAAACACAGATCCCGTGGTCTTAAAGGGCATCTATGCGCATCGACTTGTTTCAGCATCAATGACACATGTAGCTATTATTACTACTGATCTCTGAGATGCAACGCGAGTTTAACGTATACAAGTGTAAGCGTAGGAGAATTTTATCGCAACACTGAAAGTGTCAAATGTCTGAAAACCAAATGAGTCCAGACAAAAACGCAGTAACAGTATATATATAAGTAAAACGATCAACTTTGGTATACAAAAATAACACGTAGCGATAGATATGGAACTGTTCGTCTAATATACAATATATACAATATCAAAAGTCATCAATAGACTCTCACGTCATCTGTTCATGAGAGCTGGTCGTTGAATAGAAATGTGTAAACATTTCACCAGTTTAAATTCTTTGGAAAACTTATGATTATATTACTGATACATCACAATGGTTATCAAGATACTGCGGTGAATTCCCCCTTTCCTGTTTCTTTATTTATTCTCAGAAGTCCGCGGTTACTCGGCATCACTTCACGAATATTTGGACCGATTTTTGTGTGGGATGGGTCCAAGAATTCCCAAAGTGGAACTTTAAATAAAAACAATACCATCTACTTCGCGCGTATGTTGTCCTCTGACCTAGTCTTGCAAATGGGTGGGTACTACGCCATCAGTACACACGAAACAGTGACCTTTAACCGTGGAGAATGCAGTCGTGACGTAGTACCCAAACTTTATAGTTATTGGGTAATGAATTGACCGGTTTGTTTCAATCGGATGGAATCCTTTTATGTGACGATGTCAATAATTCATTCACCAAAGTTGTGAGAAATATACATCAACTACTCGTTTAAACAATTACATGAGATCACACGACCGCTTCCGAAGAATTCTGATTCCGTATCAAGCCAGGATGCTGAGTCAGTTCTAACTGCACGTGAATCTGACACGCCGTGACATAAGTGAAATACTGTTGTTTAATAGCGGCGTAAAACACAACTCACTCACTGTGCCAAAACGTTACCCATCATCAAAATCTGTCCAAATATTCGCATGTGCTGAGTCGCCCGGTATTACCCGCTTTCTTCTACAAGGAATGTTCTGGCTAAAAATGCTAAACACATACATGTACCCCTGGGAAAAAGTCAAGCATCACTATATATTTCCATATGAAATATAGCCATTTTTGTGATATCCTGTATTAATTTTATGATGAAAAACATTTCTTTTTGCTTACAAAGGAACATAGTCATACTTAATGCACAAAACTAAAAAGATCAAAAATAGTTTAGGAAATACGGCTATCGGTATTTAACTACAAAACTCGAAAATATGATGAAAAATGAGAGTTGATTGATGTTTTTAGCCTCAAATAGAAGAATTGTATAACAGTGAAACATGTTGTTGCGGTCATCACATGATATCACAGAAGTATATCCAGAAAGACACTCTAGTCAAGGGGCGGTCGAGGAGCCTAGTGGTTAAAGCATTCGCCCGTCACGCCGAAGACCGGGCTCGATTCCCGACATGGGTACAATGTGTGAAGCCCATTTCTGGTGTCCCCCGCCGTGATATTGCTCGAATATTGCTAAAAGCGGCTTAAAACCATGCTCACTTGAGCAAATTGTTTCGCTGTGACAAGTCAGTAAACTAAGCAGGGATCTGTGACCTTTAGAAAGTGGACAAACTTGAGGAACATTTAGTAATCAAGATCAGTTTTCCTATGCAAAAGCAGGACGAAGATGGGGAAAACTTTGGTGGAGGTCCGTAGCGATTCTGATGTGCAAATCACCGTTGAGTACAGGAGCGAAAAATTAATCTTATGGGCAGTAAAATGTGTATCAGGAGATCCACAGTGTTATTGTGCCAAATTGTCAGCAGGTTGCGATGGTTTCATTCGTATTCCATATATAGATATACCCAAAGAATAAATTAATGGAAATTGAACATAATGAAAATATAAAAGTGGTGCTTATCTTCGTTCCAGTAGTATTGCTATTGGAATGACACATTCTTGGGGGAGGGGTATACTATGATACGAGCTGACGTCTCAGCACTGGAATGCTGGCAGTGTTATAGTTTAATTAACCAACCAATATACACAGACGGGCATTCATGTACATAACACGCTTCCAATATATACAAATATTTACTGTACATACTCAACACACTTAACTCCAGACAAAAGGAAGCTGGATATCTCGAGCATGGGCTATCATCTTCAGTTTGTTATATCCACAGTTGAAGGGAGCCATCGATCGATACCGTAAAAACTGGAAGACGTGAAATATCACGTGATACTACGTCAAAATGGAATTCCCTTTTTGCACACATCTTACACGGGTAGAGAAAAACGTAACTTTAAATATCGCAATGATGTGCAAATACGTCCCATTATCGCACTAAGCATAATGACGTTTCGATTTCGGATTAAACAGTGCTTGGAAAGACCGATCGCTGTCTACCTTTAACTATTCCCAGGATGATAGTCGGACATGACACAGTCACATCTTGGCAGTGATTGTTAATTGAACATATTCTAATAATATTGAAATATACTCCCGATGAGAAACTTTCAATTTCAAATATTCGCCATAATTAGTTGTTTTAAAGTTAAGAAAAATGTTAAACAGGTTTTGATTATAGAATTATAAATATTATTATATGTTAATGTGATATTAAATGTGTTTAAATATTTCAGGTCGACATTATAACAAACCGCTCTTCAATTGTTAAGATTTAAATTTTTGGAGTCGGTGGGTCCTCCAAAAAATGGCTACATTATACCATATGGTGGAGTTCCCCTGTGAAAAGTTTTTTTACGATAACATGGCATGATGTTATCATAAGAATATCTCTTGCATATAAAAAAAATGAAGGCACATTTTGATTTAATAGATTACAAGAGATTCCACACAAATAATGAAGAGATTTTTATATACCCTGAAATCGTTTCCCAGTATTCGTCCCAAATACAGTGCAGTAAAGACCAATACTTATTTAGAATTATTTAGTGTTGGAGATTGAATTATTCAGTTTATTTCATGATGGCAATATAACGTCTTCTTCATCAAATAAATATACGATGCACATTGCCGATTGCGGTGTTGAGAGTTGGAGTTTGGAGCCGGTATATTTTTAAAGAAAGAGCCGGATTATGCAGGTTCATATTATTCTGCGTTCTGCTTGGCAGACACTGCTGGTTAATTGAGAGAGTCGTATTACATAGGGGCTACTTTGGACCGAGTGTATGTTCATCATGTATATGTGATTCCCTGTTATGTAATTGTAATCAAATCTCGTCCTCGGTCAAGACACCGACGTTTGAATTTAGGTACCTTCAACTGCAAGACAAGATGAGTATTATGAATGATGATAGGTCTTCCTTTAACTCTCGGCAATTAGTCCGCCAAAGGTTCACTTCTTTCAAAATTTGGATTGTTGAAAGTTGTTGTAGGGTCTCTAAAAATTGGATTCCTCGCCTGCAAGGAAAAATATTGAACGACATCAACGCGATACAGAACATAATGAAGCGCATATAAAATATCAACAACGTGTCCATTTTACACCTGATAGAAGGGAGGCAACTCGTGTCTGTCGTGCGATTCTTTGACGTTATCGTTATTATTTTTGAGTGATGAACAATACGCGACAATGTAGATACAATATCATCAATGGGCATTAAACATGGCCTTAATTTAGTATTAATATTAGTTTTTAGTTGAAGGTAATTTCAAACTTTGTTCAGAAATAGCCAATAGAGAGGTAGAGAGACATGTCATTGAGTTTCAGGTTAGACAGTCAGAAGAAGACAAAACAGTACCTGTCCCCACTTGGGGTTATTTATTTCCTCCTTAAAGCGGGCGTACTCTATCTCGTCATATCGGGACGTCAATATTTTCCATAATATCAACAGCAGTATTCCGACACCCAGAATTCCCCCGACAACCCCCAGCACAATGGGGAGGATGTCCACCTCTTTAGGGCAATCTGCAAAATAACGTGGTGACAATTATCTCATTAATTGTGATATAGTGAGTCAGTGTGGTTTCACGTCTCTACGAGCAATATTCCAGCAGCATCACAGCGAGGACGACCCGTGAAGATTCCGGGTAGAATAGGTCTTCAGCAACCCATGCTTGCCGTAAAAGGCGACAATGCTTGTCGTAAGAGGCGACTAACGGGATCGGGTGGTCAGGCTCGCTGACTTGGTTGATGCATGTCATCGATCCAAATTGCGTGGATTTGATGCTCATGATGTCAATCACTGGATTGTCTGGTCCAGACTCGATTATTTACAGACCGCCGTCGTATAGCTGGAATATTGTTGAGTGCGGCGTTAAACAACAAATAAACAAACAAACAAAAACGGCGAGGCCTCCGACATGGCAACAGAAGGATTTAACCACCCCTCGGCTACCCCTGGGCTACCTCTCTCTGCTATACATGATGAAGGAGACGGCATCCAGTCTATATAAGGATAGAAGTTTTATTCGTTGACTTTCACCAGCTGATGAATACAGTGCCTCACGTGATCAAATTCCATGATGCGCGAAAGCAATCATTCATTTGTAACACTCACTACAGTGTATATTCGTCAGTGAATAAATACACAGAGCACACGTCATGGACCACACGCGTATCTTTTCGTGCTCGTGTACATAGAGAGCCCAATAACTCTGTCAGGATAACTGATGAAGATGAAGATAATTGCTTGATTGGCATTCTGGATGGTGAGTAAACAGGAAAACATACAACTTTATGAATACAACTTCTGATTTATTGCATTTAGCGACGTTTCGATGTAGATTCTTTCACCGTTATCAAGCGTGAGGGACTACAGCCAAGTGGCGAGATAATACTTCTTCTCAAGCCGGTTGAGGGTGCTGATGATGTTGACGGCCACGTCTCCAAGTAGACGTCTTAATGTTTGATTGGCTGTCATTTCAGCTTGATAACGGTGTACGTCTCCACATCGAAACGCAATAGAGCCGTGAAGATCCGGTGTAGAATACGTCTTCAGCATCCCATGCTGGCCGTAAAAGGCGACTTTGCTTGTCGTAAGAGGCGGGGATGCTTGTCGTAAGAGGCCTATAACGGGATCGGGTGGTTAGGCTCGCAGACTTGAAATCAATCACTGGATTGTCTGGTCCAGACTCGATTATTTACACGGACCGCCGTCATATAGCTGGAATATTGCTGAGTGCGGCGTTGAACAAGAAAGAAACAAACAAAAAACATGTTTGAGGGGTATGGACTTTCTTGCGACAACAGTACCAACAGCAGATGACCACGTCGTTGGATTATCAAATATTTTCAACGGAAAAAATGGATAATTCAACACTTTATGAGAAAACATTTATGTGCTCTAGATTGGTTCCGCCCTCACCTTTAGCGTCTTGTACGAGTATCGTTGTGTTACGCTCACTGTTGTAAATGACCTTGAACTTCATCGTGCATCTGTCTTCGTCCTTGAGTTTACATGTACCATTGTCGTCTTCTGTACAAAGAAATGACTCTTAGTATAAGTACATTATTCCCAGGTGTGTAAAACCTCTGAACCAGAAACATGACTTGAACTATTAGTACTGCGCCAGACAGGGTAACAAATACAATCTTTTAACGTCTTCTCCTTGCAGATGCTCTACCACTAGATCACGGAGGCAGTCTGGTTAATCATTGGCGATTAAAATATAACCATCGTATAGATTATGTTTTTAGTTAGATTACTGTGTTTAATAATCTGGCCTGTTATTGGGATCGGGTGGGTGAGATCTTGGGAATGGGGGGTCCATGAAAACATAAAACAGCGAAGGAGGGGACGGGAGCGCTAAAATGTATCACAACCATAACTGGGAGCGTAAAAAATGTCACAGTTCTATATTTTCAAGTATTTTACTTTAATTAATTGTAAATTATCAGTCCCTAATTCATTTAAAATATTACGTATTAGTAATACCGTCTATGTTTTCCACCTTCACCACGTGACCACACTTATTAAGGCAGTCGATTTCCGGAAGTCCGGTCCCGAACGCTACACACTCTGCGCATGTGCGACTGTCGGCACATACACCTGGGCATGTCTGTAACACAACAAACACTCGTGTTGTCAGTAACAAGGAAATCCAAATTTATTAAAGAGACAAGAAATGAAATCTGCGTGTTGTCATTAATACTATAGATGCCAAACATTCGTAGTGTCATGTTGGCAAGTTCATGTTGTCATAGGGAAACAATCGCTATCCATGCATCCACGTCCGGGGAAAAGTAATTAAACACCTACTTTATCATAGGGACAAGGTATCAATGTTGTCATATTATATAAACTCAAGCTTTTATATCCCGGAGACGAGAAATTCATGTAAACTGTCGGGCAAAAGAAAGTATACACCAATGTTTGATGGTAGTTAAAATGAAACAAACGAGAAATGGTTATTCGATTGGATGTATTTGACACGGGTATCATAGTGGTGTTTTGGACCTAAGGTTTGCGTGAAGGTGTCTGTTTTCAGCACAGTAAAGTTTTGATAACCTTTGTAATTGTTTCGTCAAATCCATGTTTCAAAAGTATACTTAAAGTTTCTTTTTCCCGGTAATTTATGCTGCCATGGAAATCATATTTTTTGTTGTCATTGGAACTGGAAATATTTTTTATGTTGTCATGGAAATAAGTAATGAAACCGTCTCAATGCACCTTTTTTCTTTTGATCTGTTTTTTATCGTTTTACAACTGAGCATTCTAACAAAAAACACCTATAACTTCAAACTGTGGGACGCTGTATTAGAGAGAGAGAGAGAGAGAGAGAGAGAGAGAGAGAGAGAGAGAGAGAGAGAGAGAGAGAGCGAGAGAGAGAGAGAGAGAGACCAACATTTCCCCAAGAAAACAGGTTCCTATTACATCATAGGTTTTGAGACAGCCCCTCATTTCCAGGTTACAAAATACACCGTTATCATGACATGCCACGTATACCGAATCAGTAATGTCTGAATGAGTGGTGGGGTTGTTCTCATAATGTTTATCGGGGTTATACAACAGCTGCTTATCGCAACTATGATAATTTTCAAGAAGATGAGAGACACCTCAACCCAGTTAGATCTAGTCTTTCTACCATGACACTGGACACAGCACTTCCAGCTTCCGAGGTCATTCAACCCATGCAGATACATATAGGTACCGATATGTGAGGGTCCGTATCAATCAATTATTATTTGGATCTAAAATTGAGTCAATTTATTTATTCATTGCAGGGTTGCGTACCTTGGGCACGTCAGGGATCTATGATCACAGGTCGAATCCCGGTTTGCGCTGATTATGTTCAGGTTTGTCAGCACCATACCCGTGCTCGTGGGTTTCACCAAAGTGGTAAACGTCTGAGACCTGCATCACTTCGGGCTTTCCTCCCACATTAAGCTGACACGCCGTGGTATAACGGGAATACTGTCGAAAGCGGCGTTAAACCCAATTCAATTAATAATTCATTCGTCTTTTAAGACATGGCAACTATACGCAGGGGTGACGATTCGGGGAATGTATAAGAGGGAATACTCTCGACGCTGGAAAATAATACTTTGTATAAGGAAATCTGCCTCAGGTTTTGCAAAGAGCAATGTGTGTATGAACTGATAAAAATGGCTTGTGAAAACACTCTAACAAATATCTTTTTTCAGGACGAACAGTTATTTTTTGTCATGCGCCATATGATGTGAGAGCTGCATTTGCAAGTGTAAACAAAACAAGTATTGTTTGACAACACCAGCCGATATATAAAGTTTATGCCTGTGAACAAGATGGCACATTTAGATCATACAGTATGTTAATATCTTCTTGAGAGATAGTGGTTGTTGACCTACCGGGCACTTGTCGCAGAGTCGGCCAACGTACCCCTCCCGGCACTTGCACTGTCCGCACACACAGGTTCCGTTACCGCTACACAGTTCCTGGAACATAGAGTGAGTGAGTGAGTGAGTGAGTGAGTGAGTGAGTGAGTGAGTGAGTGAGTGAGTTTGTGAGTGAGTGAGTGAGTGAGTGGGTGAGTGGGTGGGTGAGTGAGTGAGTGACAGAGTGAGTGAGTGAGTGAGTGAGTGAGTGAGTGAGTGGGTTGGTGGGTTGGTGTGTGGGTGTGTGGATGTGTTGGTGGGTGGGTGAGTGAGTGAGTGAGTGAGTGAGTGAGTGAGTGAGTGAGTGAGTGAGTGAGTTTGTGAGTGAGTGAGTGAGTGAGTGAGTGGGTGAGTGGGTGGGTGAGTGAGTGAGTGACAGAGTGAGTGAGTGAGTGGGTGAGTGGGTGGGTGGGTGAGTGAGTGAGTGACAGAGTGAGTGGGTGAGTGAGTGAGTGAGTGAGTGAGTGGGTTGGTGGGTTGGTGTGTGGGTGTGTTGGTGGGTGGGTGAGTCGGGTGTGAGTGAGTGAGTGAGTGAGTGAGTGAGTGAGTGCAATAGGCAGTGATGTTTCAGCTGTATTGTGTATCATGGAGGACCAGCTCGATCACGGTCTAAGAATCTACATGGAAACGTCGCTACATGCAATAAACCATGTTATCGACAAAGGTTTCCACGTTTTCTTACTTAAGCTACACATTATTGGTCAGGTACCTGTTTGTCGTCTCGGCAGGTGACGTCACTGATGGCGCACTCGCAGCTGTTGCCGGTGTAGCCGTCGTTGCAGAAACACGTCCCGCACGAACATCGGCCTTGTGTCGGCCCTGCAAAAAACAACATGTCAAGCAGTGATCCCAAAGTGAAACCTGTGACAGTGAAACCTGGTTAACTCGCACCTTTTCGTCACTCAATATGTCGTCTTAAACGATGTGACTTCACGTGAGTGTCCAAATGGTCTGATATCGTCGCTCTGCTTATGTCTATCTACGGATAAGACGATCACATACTTTCTGGAACACAAATACAAAGTAATATTATCTTGAACCCTGATTCGGAAGGTATCGCGGCGAATTGGTCCAGAATATTAATCGCAATAGAATAGAGAAACAATACACTCGATAAGTGAGGACACAGGACACTGACTCCGAGCCCTTGTTTAAGCCTCTTAATGCCGAGCGCCAGGCAGGGCAACAATAAGTCCCATCTTTTATCGTCTTTTGGCATGACGCAACCGGGGATCGAACCAAATACTACTACTACTACTACTACTACTACTACTACTACTTCTACTACTACTACCACTTCTACTACTACAACTACTACTACTACTACTACTACTACTACCACTTCTACTTCTACTACTACTACTTCTACTTCTTCTACTACTACTACTACTACTACTACTGCTACTTCTACTACTACTACTACTACTACTACTACTACTTCTACTACTACTACCACTTCTACTTCTACTACTACTACTTCTACTTCTACTACTACTACTACTACTACTACTACTACTTCTACTACTACTACTACTACTACTACTACTTCTACTACTACTACCACTTCTACTTCTACTACTACTACTTCTACTTCTACTACTACTACTACTACTACTACTACTTCTACTACTACTACTACTAATCATAACAACAACATTAGACACCTATGCACAGTGGAGGGTCGTGAATGTCTACCACAGCAGGGTGAAACCGGGTGAAATACAGCATGTTCAATCGACTCACCCCCACACGTGCGTCCCGCGTAGGTGGGGCAGGCGTTGTCATGACACTGGCAGTAGGATCCGCTGTAACCACGTCTACAGACGCACTGTCCACACTCGCACTTCCCAACACCGGAACACTGCACAGTCGAGTTGGGGCTGCAGACATCAAAACATACAGTTGAACCCCATTACTCCGGACGGGGCGGTTACAAATATTAACTATTCACTTAACAATGGGTACAGAGAAAAGTCGCGTTCTGTGTGTTGGTGCTGTAAAACGACGACATATGAAGGGGACAACGGGAATAACGGGATCAGGACTAACGGTTTCATTGTTGTTGAATCATTTGCGTGTAATTGTAAGACAAGGTGGATACAACGGCACTTTGAGACACTAGAAATGGTAACGTTAACAAATGGGATCCTCTTTAAAGAGTCATGAGATAATATGAATAATATTTAAAAAATATAATTGACAACAATGTGTTTTCTTACAGGGTTTCTAGGATCAAACGAAAAACATATCCATGTCATAATTGTGTACAAGTCATATAAAAACAGTTTACAGGAAACTCTTTTGAAGCCAAGTCTTTTCCTGTGCTTATGTAACGACATCGCCATTGTGGGGAAAATGTCCTGTGAAAGTAACAGGAGGCTCCATATATAGACGTCAGTTTACTCAGTTATGACAACTTTCCTGCTTTAATAGCTAAGGGAATTTCAAGTGTCAAAAAGAACAAAACAAGTCATTAGGACTCGTTCACTTTAAAATTTCTCCCTTAGAGAGTTCTCCCTTGAAATTTGGGCAATTTTGTTGAATAAAGGAGGTGGCGGTGTGGTTTGTGTGCGTGTGTGTGTGTGTGTGTGTGTGTGTGTGTGTGTGGTGGTGGTGGTTGGGGGGGGAGGGCTTTATCGTACAAGACCCTTTTTTGTGGTTGCGAACCCTTTCGTAAATGCGGCATTAATTTTAACCTGCGACAATCTAACGATTTTTTTGTATGATATTGCATGACTTTATGTCATTTGCGTGGGTTGTGATTTTAATAACCATGATTGACCCTGCCAAGCAGCCATGCTTTATAAATCTACAACACCAAAGTCTTAACAATATAGGCAACGGTTTTGCTGTGAACCTCAAAATAGACCAGTGATTGATCAACCAATCTAAACTCCTGTGAGTGAGTGAGTGAGTTGTGTTTAACGCCGCTTTGAACAGTATTCCAGTTATATCACGGCGTGTCAGCTTAATGTGGGAGGAAAGCCCGAAGTGATGCAGGTCTCAGACGTTTACCCCTTCAGTGAAATGCAGCTGGAATATTGCTGAGTGTGGCGTTAAACAATAAACAAACAAACACCTACCCTTGACATGACTCCGTCTCGCTTGTTGACAAATCTCCTTTACTGCATTCGCAGGTTTTACCGAAACGACCCTCGTTGCAGGAGCAAACCCCGCACTGGTAGGTGCCATTACCCCCACTGCACCGCGAGCTGTTCACCTCCTGTAATAATAATAATAATAATAACAATAATAATAATAATAATAATAATAATAATAATAAAAAGAGTAATAATAATAATAATGATAATAAATAATGATGATGATGATAATGATGATGATGATGATAATGATAACAACACAACAACAACAGCAACACAATCATCATCATCATCATCAGTAGACGAAAAGGAAGTCCATTTGTAATGCATCATTAATGAATGCTCATGACGGTCAGTGGATCCGTGTACATTTCATTCCCAGCTCCCTGGGGTGTATACATATTAAAAGATGGTACTTGTTGTTACCCTGTCTGGCGCTCGGCATTAAGGGGCTAAAACAAGGACTGGTCGGCTCGGAGTCAGTATACTGTGTCTGAGTGGGGTATTCATGTTAAACTGCGGCATGGTATCTCAGTGAGCTAGCACTATAAATCGGCATCAGTCCGGACTAGTACAAGCAGCCACACACACACACACACGTGCATGCACGTCGCTATATAAGTGCAATACTCTTGGACGCGACGTTAAACCCAATTTCACCTCACCTCACATACCATGCTGCTATGAGGTGCTATGTGCATATAAATATCTTCTTTTTTTAACAAAACACCTCGCAACAATTGTTATTCTCAACAGTCCGAAGCATCATTATTTTTTTCCATAATTATTTTCTGGAAGAATTTATTATTTCCATAACATTCCAGCACACATACCCCCTCACCGCTAATTGCTTGTCGAATGGCGCGACTAAATTGGTGGTCAGGCTCGTTGACCCGGCCGTTTCTTGTCATTATTCCAAGAAACCAGATGGTGTGATTTGTTGCTCATGTTTTCAATCACTGGTTTGCCTGGTCCAGACTCGATTACTTCTGTCTGACTGCCGCGTAAAACAACGTTCTTGACTTTGTCCAACTTAACATTAATCTATGAAAGATGCAAGTAATTGAGTAAATGTTGTTCTTATGTTGCAGGGGACCTCTTATAACCCGGATTCCCACAGCGTGTGACATCCGTGAAGATCCGGGGTAGAATAGGTCTTCAGCAATCCATGCTTGCCGTAAAAGGCGACTATGCTTGTCGTAAGAGGTGACTAACGGTATCGGGTTGTCAGGCTCGCTGACTTGGTCGATGCACGTCATCGTATCCCAATTGCGAACATCGACGCTCATGATATGGTTGTCTGGTCAAGATGTAATTATTTACAGATCGCCGTCATATAGCTGGAATATTGCTGAGTGTGGCGGTAAACAGCAAACAAACAAACAAACAAACAAACAAATAAACAAACGAACAAACAAACAAATAAACAAACGAACTTACTCCTTTCCCGGGTTTCTCACAGTCACACTGACATATGAACTCCAGGGTGACGGTCATTGTCTCGGGCAGATTGACCGGCGTTATCGTGATGTTCTGTACCCGGTCAGCGGGGTCAGCGGGACAATTAGTGGCCAGAATCTCAACCTCAAAGTCTACCTGAAACATAGCATAACATATACAGTAAACTACGGTTATAACGAACACGCTTATAACGAACTGACGGATATAACGAACTGACTTTTTGGTCCCGACTACTTGCTGTAGTCATGCTGTGTATGTACTTATAACGAACTACGGTTATAACGAACTAAAATCAGTAGTCCCTTTGAGTTCGTTATAACCGTAGTTTACTGTATTCATAACTTGTACTTCTTTTAACTTCATTCATTTCCTGAGCTAGTGTACGAGGGGCGGTATTATGATCACATCCCACGTTATTGTACTGTCCTCTTTAGGCATTCATTGTATCCATCTAATCCCCATTAAGGCATCTGTTTCAGCAACGCAAAAATTACCTTGGAAACGAAACACCACCAAAGGTTGCTTTGATAGAGTTGGGTAAAAGATATATTCCCGTTTATCCGAGTGGAACTATTTCTGGATTAACGTATTGGTTCTGAGTGTCACCTGTCTGTAGGAAAGCGCACAAGGTGTTGGTCACTATATGTAGGTGCATCCAACCCATCGGGTAGTTCTCAATACTACGGAAGTCTCTTAGGGCCACTTGTTTTTTTCTTGCAATTTCAAGATACTATGCTGAAATCTAAAGATACTAAGTTGAAATGTCAAGATTCTTAGTTGAAAGTTCAAGATACTGACTTGAAATTTCAAGATGTTATGTTGAAATGTCAGGTGAGTGAGTGAGAGAGTATGGTTTTACATCAGAAATGGGCTTCGCACATTATACTCATGTCGGGAATCGAACCCGGGTCTTCGGCGTGACGAGCGAACGCTTTAACCACTAGGCTACTTGACCGCCCCAGAAATTTCAAGAAACTTAATTGAAATTTCAAGATATATACTAAGTTGAAATTTTAAGATATTAATATCTTGAAATTTCAACTTAGTATCTTGAAATTTCAACTTCGTATCTTGAAATTTCAATAAGTTGAAATTTCAAGTTATAATCTTAAAAGTTCGATTTATTATCTTGAAATTTCAAGATCATTGTCTTGAAATTTTAACTTAGTAACTATGTATCTTGAAATTTCAAGAAAAAAACCAAAATAAATGGCCCTAAAAGGCTTCCGTAAAATACCCATGGTAAAGATTTTAGTTTATTGCGAGTGAGTGATATTGGCTTATATAACAGACTGAGTATTCAAGTTAGTTTGCGGTTAGTCAGCTTAATGTGTGCATGTCTCAGATATTTACCACTTTGGTAAGCGCGGATATGGTGCTGACAAAGCTTGAAACATAATCGGGTCGAACCGTGATTGGAACCCACGATTTCTGGCGCGCCCAAGGGACGCAACTCTGCACAGCGAATTGCGGCGCTTTAGACAAGTGGGCCACCCGTTCCCTCTCTCAGTTTATAAGAATCAAGTTAATGTTTACCGGCTGTCCTATTGTTATTCCTTTACACTGTTCCGGTAAATCCTTGTTTTTCCTGAAAATAACACACACACACACACAAATGAATAAAACGAGCATTATTTATAAACACCGTGATCCTAATATACATACACACATGTTGAACTTCTAATAAGATGAATGTGATCAGAATATTTTTATTTCAATTCAGTAGACATATATCTCTAACATAGGTACATGAGGTATAGAAGTTCAGCAATACACAGGATCTTAAAACATGATCAAGATATCGGTAATACACATATATTGGATTGATACATTATGATAAGTAGGCAGATAATTCTTTCCATTTTCGGTCAAATTTATTAATATAATTAAACAGTAATTCTAATTTAAAGGGAAATAACCTACTCTTTCGACGACAACTGAAACACTGGTAGTTTTAGCACATAAGGGGTTATTCCAGTGCACGTACTTCCAATAAATAAAACAACAAAGTCCTTTTCATTATTATTATAATTATCTGACTGAGCATAAGTTTTTGAATCACTATTAAAAAGTGATGACACCAGGTGTTCGCCAAACGGTTAGCGTATCATGTCCCAAAGCCTAAGTATCGGTGCATACATTTTGGACACCTACAAACTGTTTTTTAAACTGTAGAAATCACATACACTGATGAATTTTCTTTCGCTGCATAAGAAACCCTGAGATATCTCCACATGGAACATACACATAAACACAAACTAATGTTGAGTTAAACAACTATTTTGATTAAATGGGTTTTTTTATAGAACATGACGGACCCTAAAACGGTGCGTTTTTTCCCCACCAGTACATTAAAAGGTCATCAACCATGCATACTCACGAGGTACAATCTGGAACAAGAGTAACCGTTACATTCGGCGGTGCGTCCACTTTCAGCGTCACTTCCGATATGATAGCCTAGAGGGATAAAAATAATAATTAATATTGTATTACACTGCGTGGCTGGCTGTTTCACAGCCGGAAGCTATCAGTTACAGCGCTCTGCACTTGGAGAGACCTCATTAACACGAACTCAATTAGCTCGAGGCTTCGCTTAAAGCGGAGTAGTTGTCACCTTAACAATCACATTACCTTGTTATTCTACCGGGTACCCATTAACTGCTGGGTAAAAAGAAACATATGTCGAACAAAGCCACTTTCCTCAGAAGGCACCACATGCTATGTCCTGAGGCTCGCAGTTTGGTTTTACGCCGCTTTTAGCAATATTCCAGCAATATCACGGCGGGGGACACCAGAAATGGGCTTCACACATTGTACCCATGTCGGGAATCGAACCCGGGTCTTCGGCGTGACGAGCGAACGCTTTAACCACTAGGCTACCCAACCGCCCCCACAGTTGGTAAAAGAGCTGTGAGTCTAAAGCGCGTTTATCTGTCCAGCTTGGCGTATGGTTCCTCTATGCCAAAATTGTCCAAACTTTGGACGAGCGTTTAGTGCATTGAGTGTTTGTTATCAAATTTCAGTGTCAAAGATATTTATGTTTATAATCTGTTAGCCAGGCCAAGAAGCGATCGTCGAGCTGTGGCTTCTCTTTTTAACATGGATTTACAGTCACAGAGCTATAGCCGTCCCTGGTTTCGCCCTACAAAATGGTTTTAGATGTGTAATATACCACTGTAGTAACTCCATCCTTCATGAAACTACGACAGTCGTATATCTACATCCGTCTGCGACTAGAACCCATTGTTACCCCTCAACAAGGCAGTCTCAGAACTAGCTACGACTGGCGCAAGTATCTGAGTTAAAGTTTCGCTGAGATCGCTTTGAGGAACGATATCCCGTTCCACAAGGCAATCTTAGAACTACGACTATCGTAAGCATATGTTAATGTAGGGGAGTTACGATCATCTTAGCGCTAAGATCGCTTTGACTTTGGATTTGATAATTAAGAAATAGCCAGCAAGACATTAACTGGGCACCAAACCTCGTAGTTGTCCTTCACTATCTTGATGACGTTGCTGGAGTCTGCGTCAAGGACGTCGACGCTTGAACCCACGATGACTTCACTCAGTTTGTCATAGTCCTGCTTGGCATCTTGTTTGGCAATGGCGAAAATAATGTTGACTTTCCTCTTGGACACCCAGTAGGCGATCTGACCCACGGACGGGTAATCCTGGAAATACACCATGTGCAAGTATCAGACGGGCTACCTAAGTCCAATACTGTGAGACCTCGTTAACCCGGATCGTCCGGATTGACAAATGTCCGGATAAACAAGGTGAGGTGAGGTAAAAAGGGGTTTAACGTCGCGTCCAAGATGATTGCACTTATATGGCGACGTACACGTGTGTGTGTGGTGTGTGTGTGGTGTGTGTGTGTGTGTGTGTGTGTGTGTGTGTGTGTGTGTGTGTGTGTGTGTGTGTGTGTGTGTGTGTGTGCTTGTACTCGTCCGGACTGTACCCGAACAGTCCTTGTTTTAGTCCATTAATGGCCAGGCAGGGTAACAACAAGAACCGTCTTTTAACGTCTTTAGGAATAGAACCCACGGTCTTCCGCTCTACCACTAGACCACAGACGCGGTCCCAGAAACACAAGCACGGGGAGTCTTTAAATGACATTTAGAAGTGATACAAATAACCAAGAAAATTTGTGGATGTCTTTTTCTTTTCTAATAAAGAACACAGCGTTTTGGATTATAAGCTTATTCCTAAATCAGGTAAATTTCTCATTACGCCTTCATTTACCTGATGAGCTAAGCATCTACTCCGAAACGTTATATTCATCCATACATTCTCTCTCTTAGTGAGTGAGTTGGGTTTAACGCCGCTTTTAACAGTATTCCAGTTATATCGCGGCGTGTCAGCTTGATGTGGGAGGAAAGCCCGAAGTGATGCAGGTCTTAGACGTTTACCACTTCGGTGAAACCCACGAGCACGGGTATGGTGCTGACAAACCTAGAAACATAATCGGGGCGAACCTGGATTCGAACCCACAATCATAGGTTTCTGGCGTGCCCAAGGGACTCAACTCTGCACAGCGAATCGCGGCGACATAGCCGACTGGGCCACCCGTGCCCCCTTCTCTCTCTTAAGTCATGACTATTTGAGTATGTCCTCAAAGGCGAGGTTTCCGGATGCACGGAGTCCAGATGAACCAGATTTCCCTGTAGACAGTACCATTCCTACGTTCTACAATACATACATCTTTTCTCGATTTTCTATCAAATCAGTGAGCGTATATCCAACATAAATTTCCTATCTACGAAAATAACGTTTTAATAGTCATTGACTAAGTTTTAAAAATATTCAAGATATAACGAACATAACACAAAATATATATTTTTTAAATATCCAAAGTCTCTCCGAGAGTTTATCTCTCATTCTGTGTATTTGTAATACAGGAAGCAGGTCTTACCTGGATTAATTCTTGTGGGTTTTCCCCACTCTTGTCCAAGTGACACTGTCCGTCATTAGGGATGACAATACCCGCCAACTGTAACACACACAACCAGCAGAGTGGACGTTAATGCAGGCAGCTAGGCATGAAGGCAGGTTTCTATACTGGGGTATGCATTCCAGTGTGTCGAAACGTTAATGTCACATCGGCATTATCTTAGTCGTATATTGACGAGTCTTTGTTCACGATAATGATAATCATGAACAAAACACTAAAACCACATATATGTTAACAAAACACGCACGACGAACGGATGGCGTTCAGTACTGCTTGCCTGTGCCTTATCCACCCTTCTCTACATCAGTACTCGCCCTACTCCACATCAGTACTCACCCTTCTCTACATCGGTACTCGCCCTTCTCTACATCAGTACTCGCCCTTCTCTACATCAGTACTCGCCCATCTCTACATCAGTACTTGCCCTTCTCTACATCAGTACTCACCCTTCTCTACATCAGTACTCGCCCTACTCTACATCAGTACTTGCCCTTCTCTACATCAGTACTCACCCTTCTCTACATCAGTACTCGCCCTACTCTACATCAGTACTCGCCCATCTCTACATCAGTACTCGCCCTACTCTACATCAGTACTCACCCTTCTCTACATCAGTACTCACCCTTCTCTACATCAGTACTCACCCTTCTCTACATCAGTACTCGCCCTACTCTACATCAGTACTCGCCCTTCTCTACATCGGTACTCGCCCTTCTCTACATCAGTACTCGCCCTTCTCTACATCAGTACTCACCCTTCCATCCCCTGCTGCATGGAACGTGGAGTCGGAGGAGTAGATGAGAAGTTTCCTTGCGGACTCGCGCCACCCCAGCTGCTTCTGCAATTGAGTCAGTGACGTCACAATGTTATTTGCTCTATGTGTACGTACCGTACCGCCATTCGAATGTACTGAGGCAAGGCAGACACGGGGAAGACATTTCTGTGTACCGGTATATATGGACCAAAAGCAATAGGTGCAGACATTATATGACTGATCCACAACAAACATCATAGCATGATTAAGGAGAAAATTCTACTGTGTTTTGAAATTTGAGGTAGTCTCAATGTAGATTAGATATAATTTATTTTAATTTGGAACCGTGCGCTTTAGGCATCGAATGGAATTAGATACCTAATTTTACTATTTTGGCCAATCAGAATCAAGTATTCTTCAGTGTCATTGTAGACTAAAATACACCAGAGTTGAAGAGATATAGCAGATTTCGATTTTTCTGATGGGGACATATATGTACATGCTGGACTACTTGTCTTTTTGTTCTTCTTTTTCAAATTTCAAGACAGTGTGTTGAAATTTCAAGATGCTATGTTTAAATTCGAGGATACTCACTTGAAATTTCAGGTGATAATCTTAAAATATCAAAATTTCAAGTAGAAAGCAAGTGGCCCTGAAAGGTTTCCGTACTTTTGGTCCAGCATGTACACATATATCCCCATCAGAAAATTCGCCCGAAAAGGCTTCCGTACAAAAGAGCTGTAGCAACTGAAACACCTGGCAATGTTACATTTGCAGGATCTGTACTGACCTCACATGTTACAGCCTGCATGATGGCGTCGAGGCCTCCTTCAGGCGCATCTATATTCCCAGTGACGTTGGCGGTTTTCACACTCTCCTGGTTAAAAAGAGACAGAAACATTCCGAAACAAATCATTATGAATAATTGAGGGGACAAGGAAACAGGAAACAGTGGATGCGCGATAAGATATAATTTTGTCAGAGTAATGAAACCTCGTTTAACAGATTAACATCGACACATTAATATTCTGCTGCGACTTCCAGCAGCTATTTATATGTACAGTAAACTACGGTTATAACGAACACGCTTATAACGAACTGAAAGATATAACGAACTAACTTTTTAGTCCCGACTATTTGCTGAGGTTATGCTGTATATATGCTTATAACGAACTACGGTTATAACGAACTAAAAATAGTAGTCCCTTTGAGTTCGTTATAACCGTAGTTTACTGTATATGTGTACTGACAATAAGAAAGCCTCTTGGCGAGTGAGTGAGTGCGTGAGTGAGTGAGTGAGTACGCCACTTTTAGCAATATTCCAGCAATACCAGGGAGGGGGACGCCAGAAATGGGTTTCACACACTATACCCTTGTAGGAAATCGAACCCGTCCTTCGATGTGACCAGCGAACGCTTTAACAACGTTAACTAGACTACTCAACACCACTTTTGGCTCTGAGAACCTATTCCGAGTTAGTGAGTAGTGAGTGATTGAGTATAATTTTACGTCGCGTTTAGTATAATTCTAGCAAAATCACGGCGAGGACCACCACGAATTAAATTCAAAGATTGTACTCATTTTCTAAAGCAAACTTTTACGAGACAAGAGAACGCTTTAACCACTAGGCTACCTCGTTCACCTTGTCACCTTAATTCAGAATGTTTACAGAACGCATTGGGCCACACACACTCCAGACTCTCTTGAAATCCTGACAAAACGAATTCGTGTTTCAAGAAAAAAGACTTAACTCGAAAGTGTCGAAATATACGGAAGCCTTTTAGGGCCATATTTAAAAAAACAATTTCGATACTATCTTGAAATTTTAACTAAGTATGTGTCTTGAAATTTCAACTTATTATCTTGAAATTTCAACATAACATCTTGAAATTTCAATTAAAAAATTTAAAAAATGGCCCTAAAAGCCCCTCGTAGAAATACTACTTACCACGAACATCGACACGTTCTTCGTGAAGTTCAGCCGATGTCGATAGCCGTATGGAGCCGAACATCTGGGTTTCTCGTTTGCATTACATGGGTCCTGTAGTCTGCAAACGTTGACACGGGTTAATAAAAGCGACAAAATTCATTCCATGATCATAAACAAGTCCTTGTTAAAAGTCGAGTCCATCGTACGATTCCGACAATATCATGAGCATGTGTTTATGAATCACCATCACTAGTCATGATACCGGGTATTCACGAAAAGGTGAGCGTATCCTGCTCCGCCGGGGGTACCCGTCACAAACACATGCAAGGGCAAGCAAATTGTGTACAAGACAATATAAGGAATTGTATTGTCACTGATGCGTCAATCGTGTCTACAACATGGCTTTATATACAGTTTCATATAAAATGGCCATTTTCAAATACGTTTCCACTATGTATTTACGACAAAGCACCAGTTTTTGTTTACAAAGGAACATATTTGTAAAGACATTCAGAAAGCGAAATCAATATGGACATTTTATGAACCGTTCATCGGTTATTTCGATCACTATCCTTTCAGTTGCTTCCTCTGTGTCTTGGGGGCACGGGTGGCCCAGTCGTCTACGGCGCCGCGATTCGCTGTGCAGAGTTGCGTCCCTTGGGCACGCCAGAAACCTATGATTGTGGGTTCGAATCCCGGTTCGCCCCGATTGTGTTTCTAGGTTTGTCAGCACCATACCCGTGCTCGTGGGTTTCACCGAAGTGGTAAACGTCTAAGACCTGCATCACTTCGGGCTTTCCTCCCACATTAAGCTGACACGCCGTGATATGACTGGAATACTGTTAAAAGCGGCGTTAAACCCAACTCACTCACTCACTCTGTGTCTTTGAATCATTTAATATAACCATCGGGAAGTGAGTGAGTGAGTGAGTGAGTGAGTATGGTTTTACGCCGCTTTTAGCAATATCCCAGCAATATCACGGCGGGGGACAGCAGAAATGGGCTTCACACATTGTTCCCATGTCTGGAATCGAACCCGGTATTCGGCGTTAACCATCGGGAAAAGTGTCCAATGCTCTTCTACCAATATTTCAGCAGCTATCGGATGTCTAAATAATTATCAACGGCAAATGTGTATATTTCCAAAAGATGAACGGAAGTTCATAATGTTTTAAATTTGCATGTTTCTACGTGTATATATACTGACTGCAGTAATTAAGGGGTCAGATAAAAAAGTAAAGATAAAAATATATATTGGACGTGCTCCATTTCATATACAGGACACCCGTTAATCCAGACGGTTGCGTTCCGAGGAATAACAAGAGAAGACAAATAAATGAAACCTTTAAAGTAATGTCAAGAAAAAAAAATCAATCGAGATGTATGGTGTGGTGCCCTGTACTTATTGACGAAGACGCACCAGTCTATTATTTGGATGACCTTTGAATATCTAACATTGACGCAGATGGGGGTGAGACGGCACCCAGTTACTCCGGTGACCTTCTGGTATTACCAGTTATTACTGCGGCTATTATCACAGCTCTCGAATAATTGGTTTAGTTTACACTACGATTCAACATGTGAGCTCGTGATGATAACACGGCCGACTACTGGCGGACCAAGCTGGGAAAAGTGATATAAAGTGGTTTCGGTTAAACAGTATTTCAGCCGTATTTCGACTGTCAACTTAATGTCGGTGGAACGTCCGAGTACGTCCGAGTGGGATGTACAGACCCCCCCCCCCCCCCCCCCCCCCCCCACACACACACACACACACACAGAGTAGAAGTGGTAAGTTGCTGAAATGAAATGATCATAATCTGAGCGAATCTGGGAACCGAACCCACCATCAGCGGATGAGGGTATAGCTAGGGGGCACAACTCTGCACAACATGTTGCTTCATCTTAGACCACTGGGTCTCCCTGGCCTGCAAGAAACAGTAGCTGGAGCTACAAGAAATACATAGTAGATACAAATCTTATCATCACCATGTTTTATCCACAAACTTCGGCTTCGTGTATTTGCAATAGTAGCGTTGAGTGTACGGATGCGAGCAACCTCAACTAAATTGAAATCCTGTAGCCTGTCTCAAAGTCTCTGAGCCATAGTATCGTTCCATCTCCCAGCCCTTACTGTAATGTTACCCCAAAGTGAAGCAAGTCTGGATTTCCCACATGAACTGAACCTCCAATATCACTTGTCTTTATCAATTTAAATATAGCCGCTTGTTTTTCCATCAAAATTTCATATATAAAGCGACCGTCAGTCCATGAAACCCCCTTAGAGAACAGTTTTAAATAACACAATCTGTTTATCCAGACATGTGTTAGAACGGGCCGGTGTCCGGCGTGTTACCGTCCGGATGAACGAAATTTCACTCCGTACGTCTGTCGGTTTAAAACTATATTTACACAGCTAGTTTCGATAGACGAAACCCAGCGTTATTCGGCCATGTTCCAGTATACGATATACAGGAAGTACAAATGACGCCAGTAATACTGGTATTTGTTTATCGCCAGAAGATAAAATGCTATGATTATACTTAACCATAGGTTGTAGGGCCACAGTCGGGTCACTAGTGTGTAAATAGCCCACCACGGGGAAGCCGACATGTGGTACAAATAGCAATGTCCCGATCGCATTACTAAGTAGGGCGTTGAGGCGTATTGTAACTGAATGTACGCTGACGGGTTTCCTGGTTCATGAGCTCTACAAGGATCATTTCCTACACGGACCCTTTACTTGGACCCTTTAGGACAGGGACCTTTACTACACGGACCCTTTACTTGGACCCTTTAGGACAGGGACCATTTACTACACGGACCCTTTACTTGGACCCTTTAGGACTGGGACCATTAACTACACGGACTCTTTAATAAAATCACACTTTACTACATGGATCTAATACTATGACCTTTTAGGACAAGGACCATTAACTATATGGACCCTTTACTTGGACCCTTTAGGACAGGGACCATTAACTACACGGACCCTTTAATAAATGACTCTTTTGTAAAATGACACTTTTCTACACGGATCCTTTACTTGGACCCTTTAGGACAAGGACCATTAACTACTAGTATATGGACCCTATACTTGGACCCTTTAGGACAGGATCATTTACTACACGGACCCTTTACTTGGACCCTTTAGGACAGGGGCCATTAACTATATTGACCCTTTACTTGGACCCTTCAGGACAAGGACCATTAACTACACGGACCCTTTAGTATAAGGACCCTTTAGGACAAGGGCCATTAACTGCAAGGGCCCTTTAATACAAGTACTCTTTAGTAAAAGGACACTTTTCAACACGGATCCTTTACTTTGATCCTTTAGGACAAGGACCATTAACTACATGGACCCTTTAGTATAAGGACCCTTTAGGACAAGGGCCATTAACTGCAAGGGCCCTTTAATACAAGGACTCTTTAGTAAAAGGACACTTTTCTACATGGATCCTTCACTTGGACCCTTTAGAACAAGGACCATTAACTACATGGGCCCTTTAGTATAAGGACCATTTAGGACAAGGACCGGTAACTACAAGGACACCTTAGTACATGGACCATTAACTACAAGGACCCTTTATCACACACCTGCAGATGTAACATTGCCAGGTGTTTCAGTTGCTACAGCTCTTTTGTACGGAAGCCTTTTTGGGCGAATTTTCTGATGGGGATATATGTGTACATGCTTTATTAACAGTTTTGTTGTTTTACACCACCCCTCAAGGGCCTCCCTGTATAGGTAAAGTTGCAATCACGAATAAAACAATATTAATGATTCAGTGACTTCACTGACTCCATGAGCCTTCATTGCAACACATACATGCACACAGAAGTGTCAGGCTCGCCTGAAACATTCCAATCTATTTTTAGATCAATATGTTTAATATGAAATAAGATTTTGAGATGATGTTAAAATTAGTTTTTGATATCAAAAGATGACGAAGGACAACACATTCTTGAACCATATTAACATCATGTCATCATTTCAATGAAGCGAAGCATAGTAATCAATTGTGTACTATCCTATACTGATTTGACATTCATCTCGAACTCTTCTACTTAACCTCTCCTCGGCAGAATGTACTCCCGGGATCTAAGGTAAGAGACAGAAGTCACTGTGTTCAAACTAGGTATGTTCTTGAGTGAGTGAGTGAGTGAGTTGGGTTTAACGCCGCTTTTAACAGTATTCCAGTTATATCACGGCATGTCAGTTTAATGTGGGGGCAAAGCCCGAAGTGATGCAGGTCTCAGACGTTTACCACTTCGGTGAAACCCACGAGCACGTGTATGGTGCTGACAAACCTAGAAACATAATCGGGGTGAACCTGGATTCGAACCCACAATCATAGGTTTCTGGCGGAATCATACTGAGAAAATAATTTTGCCTCGGTTTTATGAACAATTATTTTTTGACTTGCTGGCTGCTGTATCAAACGTTCTGTCTCTAAAATAGTCACTTTCATCTTCATAATCCACTCTATCACGTTTTCCAAAGCACTTAATGAATTCTGGCTCTTCAATAGAAGTGAACCGGCAACCGATCCTTAAACGTGAAAATAATCTCCATCCAACTTACCGACTGGGAACTGTATTGGTGAATGGCAGAATGACCTTGTCTTGAAAATAACCAAACCCAAGCCGGTAATTGTTTGAAATATTTCCTATTTTGCTAGCTGCAAAAGAAAAACGGGCCATATTATTTTACAACATCCATCAGTGAATATAGAGAAGAAAAAAACCATTTGTGCATCGATTTTTTGGTCATACTTTTGTCATTGTTACGAATTACATATTATTATCTTAAATCAAATGTAGTGGTTTGACAAGTTTGACATATCTTATACTACATAATTATAATTTCTTTGTAGTAATTTGTATTGATTTGTAAACATAATTTTATAAAAACAATTGTTAATTGTATATTAACATTTTTGTGTTGTTTGTAAATTTCACACTGAAATCTTTTGCGTATAAATTTCTGGGTGAAATTATTGTTTCAATTTGGGAGTCGACTCGTAACATTATCACCTGCATGGATTATGCAGATCCGTGGGTTAATTGTAAGGTCTTGTGTAGCCGGAAATGTTCCAGGGTTGCCTTGAATTCCTTCACGTGAGGGTGATTCCAGCAAGAATCGCGCCATTTGTACCAGTAAGGTGATCATTGGTTTTACTCATGTTTTATTTGCAAACATAGATCTCGTTATCATGCTTTCGGCGAAACCACAAAGATAAGGGTTCTCTTTGGCCTTCTCGAAATACATATTTTACGTTCAAACATGAAACTCAACTTGGATCTAAGATTTTACCGAGGCATTTTTATGAGTGAGTGAGTGAGTGAGTTTGGTTTTACGCCGCTTTTAGCAATATTCCAGCAATATCACGGCGGGGGACACCAGAAATGGGCTTCACACATTGTACCCATGTCGGGAATCGAACCCGGGTCTTCGGCGTGACGAGCAACGCTTTAACCACTAGGCTACCCTAGTATAGTTAAGCGTTGTTAATTAGGTGTATTTCCAAAACATGGGAGTGTTGACACACACAAAGTTGAAATCTCCTGAATTCGTTAACACATCTGATAACTTTCAAATTGATATGTTGCTGTCCTCATGTTTTTGAATTATGTATAACGTATGGACCTAAAGGGGATATTATCCACTGTCGAATACAGGGGTGGGGTTGGGGGTGCACTAACCTATTTGACAAAATCCTGGATCCGCCTTTAAATTATCACAGGGGCGGTCGGGTAGCCCAGTGGTGAAAGCGTTCGCTCGTCACACCAAAGACCCGGGTTCTATTCCCCACATGGGTTCAATGTGTGATTCCCATTTCTGGTTTCCCCCGCCTTGATACTGCAGGAATATTGCAAAAAGCGGCGTAAAACTATACTCACTCACTCAGATTACCATTCCTTGTCCGTTGACAGTTTTGTTTCGTAGCACCGCTGGTTTTATTGCACATAATTTTAATTTTTATGTGAATTATGTACTCACCTATTTGTCCGGCTAAGTTGCCCAGTTTCTGCTTATGAGTGTTCATGGTGAAGGATAAATCAAAGAGGAAGTACAGATCCACAGGGTAGTTCCTGGCAGCTTGGTACCGCATGGGAACCTTCACTTTGGAATCTGGAAGATAAATAATACATCTTGGACGTATTGAATGTGGCGATTGGGATTTGAAATTCGCAGCTTACGTACTTGTTCTTAGTCAATGGTATCTTTTCAGGAGATGGGTTGTTCGAGGCATTCAATAACGTCCCAGGGGGCACGTGTGGCCCAGTCGTGTAAGGCGCCGCGATTCACTGTGCAGAGTTGCGTCCCTTTGGCACACCAGAAACCTATGATTGTGGGTTCGAATCCAGGTTCGCCCCGATTATGTTTCTAGGTTTGTCATCACCATACCCGTGCTCGTGGGTTTCACCGAAGTGGTAAACGTCTGAGACCTGCATCACTTAGGGCTTTCCCCCCACATTAAGCTGACACGCTGTGATATGACTAGAATACTGTTAAAAGCGGTGTTAAACCCAACTCACTCACTCACTCACTCAATAACGTCCCATCGGCGGCATCACTTTCAGTGTTCATATAATATGTCAACGCTAGAGAACAACCAGTCACGAATAGCCACCGAGACAGATTACACAGGGTGAGGTGAGGTGAGGTGAGGTGAGGTGAGGTGAGGTGAAATGGGGTTTAACGTCGCGTCCAAGATTATTGCACTTATATAGCGACGTGCATGTACGTGTATGTGTTTGTATGGCTGCTTGTACTAGTCCGGACTGATGCTGATTTATAGTGCTAGCACACTGAGATACCATGCCGCAGTTTAACATGAATACCCACTCAGACACAGTATACTGACTCCGAGCCGACCAGTCCTTGTTTTAGCCCCTTAATGCCGAGCGCCAGACAGGGTAACAACAAGTACCATCTTTTAACGTCTTTTGGTATGACGCGGCTGGGGATCGACCGCCGGACCTTCCGCTCTCCGGGCGGACGCGCTACCATTAGACCACGGAGGCGGTCAGATTCCACTAGGAGTAAAAGACAAAAAGGCGATGAAAACCACATGAATGGATACCCAGTGATGACACCAGGTGTTTACCTATTACTGAAAAACGAAATACTACACTAACATGTAGGCTATGAAATATTTTATCACCCAATGCATATCTCTCCTCTAAAATTAAACGAAAATACATCCTGAAATATTTTTTCTGATGCTGAGTCAATGTGGAAATTGAGCTGGCTAGAGCTGGCTAGAATTGCCTTTATATGTATCTAGATTTGTTTTGTTTTCATGAAATACGTGTATGCCACAGTCATGGGGCGGGACTAAATGAAATACATGTTGCTCTTTGTACGTTATTCGTCTTTTAAAACATTCAACATTAGTGAGTGAGTGAGTGAGTATGGTTTAACGTCGCTTTTAACAGTATTCCAGTTATATCATGGCGTGTCAGCTTAATGTGGGAGGAATGCCCGAAGTGATGCAGGTCTCAGACGTTTACCACTTCGGTGAAACCCACGAGCACGGGTATGGTGCTTGACAAACCTAGAAACATAATCGGGGCGAACCGGGAGTCGAACCCACAATCATAGGTTTCTGGCATGCCAAAGGTACGCAACTCTACACAGCGAATCGCGGCGCCTTAGACGACTGGGCCCCCGTGCCCCCTCATTCAACAGTAGATTTAAGCTGAAGGCGATTTATCTAATGGTAACGGACGTTGCGCCGACCAGCACTATTCATGACCTGTTTGTCTCAATATTGAGTGGAATGTCGATTTCTGAAGAACTGTAACATTGCTAAGATGCTAAGATGTTTCCATATGAAAACTCACGAATGTGCTCCTGTGTCGATCACCGAGTGTTTTATTAAGTAAAATAATGTAAATAATCACACCTGCCTGCGGTGCGAAATGTATATTACTCAAAAGAAGTTAAGGATCACCCGATTCTTTCATAGTGGTAAAGTAAATCTGTCATGACATGAGAGATTAACTATAGTAATATGAAAGAATCAGGTGATCCTTAACTTCTTTTGAGTAGTATATGTTGGGGAGGACAATTAAAGACAAACAAGAAACTAGTGGCACAATTCAGTAATTAGAGAATGAAATGTTTATGAATGTTTCGCTTATGGTTTTACGAATCTAGGCAAACGAATCGCGAATAATGTTCTAACTTCCGAATGCAACAGTGTGTGACCTGCATAGAGAAGAGCGCGTCCCATTGAGTGGATCTTTTCTCTGGTTTATATGGCCTAGTCTGTCTCACAGTCCCTGAACCATATTATTGTCCTTCGGCCTGGCCCTAACTTTAATGTTATAGCCTTAAATAAAGCAAGTCTAGATTTTCCACAGGTTCGCCTCCCATCGCACTTGGGCTCCTTATCAATTAAAATGCATTTGCTTGTTTTTATCAGAGACAGAGTGTTAGTTTATACTTGGAGCAGAATCATTTTTTATAGGTACAATACAACTGGAATATTGCCGACCGGCGTAAGACAACATTCACCAACACCATCATAAAGGTTTAAATGGTAATACGAACAATATTAGTCCGTATTCGTGTATGTTAACTCATGCATCTCTGAAAAATGACCTCATACGTGCGATCATATCTCAAAGCAAGAAATATAAGTACATTGCATATCACACTGTTTTTTTATCCATCAGTTTGTGTACGTCAGTTCATGGGATGCTTCTGAACAATGTACGACAAATATATTTTTTAATGTTTTAACTGACATTATTTTTATGAGTGAAGCCAATTACAATACATTAAAGCATCTTCTAATTTGTTTTCACTGTTTCCATGACCAGATGGTGCTACTCTCTGACCTGATGGAGCACTGACAGTACTCCAACTGTATAACTGCTTTTGTTCCTTGTCCCATGCTAAAGATCCCAGTAACACAGTTATTGTGCTCACGTGTGTGTAAATGTCACACATGCCGATTTGTCATCCTGACTCGGGACGACGCATCTTAAATTGCCAGTAATTGCAGGCAGACAGACACATCTCCGGTACCCTCGCTGCCATATGTTTGTAATATACCCCCGTGGATGACACGATAAACATTATAATGACTTAATACCATTGGTCGTAATTTGTAAATTGTGTAACGATGACAAACCACAGACCAGAACAAAGGATAATTGCTGCATTGTGTGAAATGTGTATCGCCGTTTGTATGTCAATAGTATGTCAATGTACACACAAAGGCTGGTGTGGTAGATCCGTTATGGCACCAGATATACCTTTGTTATACATGTTGAATTCATTTCAATGAGAAGGGGAATCTAGTACGTCTCGGTCATCTACCAGTGGAATAACAGTGAAATACTAGTGAAATACCAGCAAATACCAGTGCGATACCTGTGAAATACCAGTATATACCAGTACAATAACAGTGAAATACCAGTGAAATATCAGTAAATACCAGTGCAATACCAGGAAATACCAGTGAAATACCAGTAAATAACAGTGGAATAACAGTGAAATACCAGTAAATACCAGTGAAATACCAGTAAATAACAGTGAAATAACAGTGTAATAACAGTGAAATAATAGTAAATACCAGTGAAATGCCAGTGAAATAACAGTAAATAATCGAGTTTAGACCAGGTAAAGTAGTGACCTAAAATGTGCAACAACCCATCCCCTGGGGCCTGTTCTGTAACCCTTAGATAGCAGGGGTGGCCCAGTCGTCTAAGGCGCCGCAATGCGCTGTGCAGAGTTGCGTCCCTTGGACACACCAGAGTCCTATGATTGTGGGTTCCAACCCTGGTTCGCCCCGATTATGTTTCTAGGTTTGTCAGCACCATACCCGTGCTCGTGGGTTTCACCAAAGTGGTAAACGTATGAGACCTACATCACTTCGGGTTTTCCTCCCACATTAAGCTGACACGCCGTGATATAACTGGAATACTGTTTAAAGCGACGTTTAATCAACACACTCACTCACTTAATTACCAGAACCATATAATGTTTTCAACATGTTCTTGTTACAAGTTGGCAGCCATTATGTTCGATGAGAAATATATGGGACTAATGGATGTTTTAATCTTGTGCAAACGTGAGCAAACATTCACACAAATTCTAACCGTGACATTTCCCCCTTCTAAGCGGTAAAGAGGAACGTATAGTTTCACAGGCTCCGAAAATTATATCATACCTAATTGTGTCGAATACCATATTGGCCCATCCTGACGAGGTTCCTAGGGATGGTGTAGTCTTGCCTCAGGACGTCGCTTGTCAACAAGATACCTGATGTGCGATACTATCCCATACTGTGACCTTTGCATGGAGTTTTCACACATGCTAACTCACTGGTCTTGTAATGTGGTTGATCGCGTGGTGGATGGGGGATCTGCAGTGTCTGTGTATGTTGCGTTATTTATACCCATGAGTACATATGTGCAATCAGTCTACTCACTGGGGCGGATCTGTAGAGTCGGTGTATGTTGCGTTATTATACCCATGAGTATATATGTGCAATCAGTCTACTCACTGGGGCGGATCTGTAGAGTCAGTGTATGTTGCGTTATTTATACTCATGAGTACATATGTGCAACCAGTCTACTCGCTGGGGCGGATCTGTAGAGTCGGTGTATGTTGCGCTATTTATACCCATGAGTACATATGTGCAACCAGCCTACTCAATGGGGCGGATCTGTAGAGTCGGTGTATGTTGCGTTATTTATACCCATGAGTACATATGTGCAATCAGTCTACTCACTGGGGCGGATCTGTAGAGTCGGTGTATGTTGCGTTATTTATACCCATGAGTATATACGTGCAATCCGTCTACTCACTGGGGCGGATCTGCAGTGTCAGTCGTTGTGGCTGCAGTTGCACCGATTCCTTGCCGTTTACGCCGTCTGTTACGTCGTTGTTCTGGAAGCAAGACAAGGAGTTCAAGAGATCGACGAGCTCTTGTTTTGGATGCCAATACGACAACGAATACGAAGTCAACACCCAAAGCTGTATGGTCTATTTATACATATTTCACAAAGCAAACAATAATATTATGCACACACATCGGTAATTCTTGAACGTTTAGAAAAAAACAGTCTATATGTATTCCTGCCTCGAATACCGACTAGTGCCTCGTGTTAAACATTGCAATGTTCGACCCGTGAAGAATCGGGTAAGAATCCCTACCCATGCATGTCGCAGGATCCGGGGTAGAATAGGTCTTCAGCAACCCATGCTTGCCGTAAAAGGCGACAATGCTTGTCGTAAGAGGCGACTAACGGGATCGGGTGGTCAGGCTCGCTGATTTGGTTGACGCATGTCATCGTATCCCAGTTGCATGGATCGGTGCTCATAATGTCAATCACTGGGATGGCTGGTCCACACTCGATTATTTACAGACCGCCGTCTTAAAGCTGGATTATTGCTGAGTGCGGCGTTAAACAAGACACTAACAAACAATGTTCACAAAGTTTGGTAATTATACAGTAGAGCCGCTATGGCAGAAGATATCCTTGTGTTAATCCATTTGAATGAGTAGATTAGCTTGTTTGTTTGTTGTTTAACGCCGCAATATTACAGCTATATGACGGTTGCCGACTATTCATCTGGACCAGGCAATCCAGTGATTGACATCATTAGTACAAACTAGTACAAACAGACACACACACACGTCAGCGAGCCCGACCATCCCATCCCGTTAGTCGCCCCTTACGACAAGCATGGTTGGTGAAGACCTATTGTAACTAAGATATTTGTGGGAGTATGAGCAGGCGGTACCCACCTCGTTGTATTCGATGTTGTTGCTGGGGAAGGTGATGTTCCCAAGGGAACAGGTCTTGTTGATCTCCTCTATCGTGCCACATCGGTCCTCTGGGTTGACAATCACCTGGAACATAGACTGGACATGAGAGGCCAGTTGGGTCATGATGGTGAGTTTGCTTGACCAAGCTGGGAATTATCATCATCATCATCATCATCATCATCATCATCAACATCATCATTTTTAGGGGGGACGGGTGCAGAGCTGCGTACCTTGGGCACGCCAGAAACCTATGCTTGTGGGTTCGAATCCCGGTTTGCCCTGATTATGTTTCTAGGTTTGCCAGCACCATACCCGTGCTCGTGGGTTTATTTTATTATTATTATTTACAGATTAAAATAAATAAATGAGGGTTTGGGTTTGGGTTAATATTATTATTATCATAATTATTAGTATAATAATCATTATTATTATTATTATTATTATTATTATTATTATTGTTGTTGTTGTTGTTGTTGTTGTTATTGCTGTTGTTGTTGCTCTTGTCGGCCATCAATTATACCTTTTAGAATAAACAGAGACATTCGTTATATAACTTGCAGTGTGCCCAGATGAGTTATAATGTGTGTATCACGGTGACCTCAAGCGGCAGCTGTACATGCGTACTAGGCATACCATCGACTTCCTGTTGGCCAAGTGCTATTTCCGGCCATGTTTTGTCTCGGCAACACGACAGCGGGCTACACTCTCCATGGCCCGACCCTGCGGTAGAAGCTAAGCGTCTCGATCGTCTCCGACATGTGAGAAGGGACAATGGCGAAGAAGGAAACCAGTGGTTGTGTCAATATCAGGAGATAATCACTCAAACGGAGATTCATTTAAATAATATGCGCATTTAAGTAGGGTCAATGTGAAGTTAAAATATTGCAAAGAAGGTATGTTAAGGAACAATTCATTTTACCGATAAATCCCAGGCATTGCAAGAGATCAAATGGGCGAAAAATACATAAAAAAAACAGAAAACCTGTTTTTGACTTATTGTGTGACGTATTTTAAGACATTTTAAAGTCTACAACACTTGGTATAGGACTTTAAATTAATTTATTACGCAGAACGAGTAGTTCTGCTTCGGAACGAATTTATATATATATATATAACAGAAGAAAGATCAAGCTGACCTGGGTTTGTTATAAGTGTGCAATGGTAGAAGTATTTTTTTTTACCACATCGGGGAATTAATTTCCGCAGCGGCGGGGAAAACTGACAAAAGGAGACGTTTGTTATTATTTGACGTCGGAATATAAATTCAGATGGGAAACAGGAAAAATACGGACATCCTTACTTTTAATTATTCTTTGATAGCACCTGATAATTTATGTTTGTTTACGAACTATTGTTCTAAGCTGAACACATGGCAAGAGAGGTAATTAATTCCAATTATGTTAATGACGGGGTGAGTTGACATTTAAGAGATAGCGATTTGCCAGAACTGAACCAAACATTTGTCTTGCTGATAAACAGTCGTAGTTCCGCATGAGAGTAATTGGCTAATTGTGCATGTGGTTTAAGTGCTGCCTGGGAGTGCAGATGTCTGGTGATGCTGACGGTGACTGATGCTGCGCATTGCGTACACTCATAACGCACTCGTAAAATGGCTGGACGCGTTAAGTGGCATTGCTGAATCGGTCATCAATCTCCCTTATGCCAATCAATGTACTTGATAACCCACGCCAGATACGTTCATATTGAACATCACTGTTGTCCTGACATTCCCTGGACCAACATCCACAGGTCCCCGACATAAAGTTATAAGGTTAAATCGAAATAATTGCCCAGTCAAATCCACAAGTATTAACATGAGATGAGTGTAGGCTGGTTGAGCTGAGAAGGGGATGAGTATATGCTGCTTGCGCAGAGAAGGGGATGAGTATAGGCTGATTGGGCAGAGAAAGGGGTGGATATAGGCTGCAAGAGCTGAGAAGGGGGTGTGAATATGCTGCTAGAGTTGATAAGGGGATGAGTTTTGGCTGCTAGAGCTGAGCAGGGCATGCGATACGGAGCTAGTTCTGAGAAGTGGGTGAGTATAGGCTGCTAGAGCTGAGCAGGGGATGAGTATAGGCTGCTAGAGCTGATAAGGGGATGAGTTTCGGCTGCTAGACCTGAGCAGGGGATTAGTATAGGCTGCAGAGCTGAGAAGGGGATGAGTATAGGCTGCTAGAGCTGATAAGGAGATGAGTTTCGGCTGCTAGACCTGAGAAGGGGATGATTATAGGCTGCAGAGCTGAGAAGGGGATGAGTATAGGCTGCTAGAGCTGAGAAGGGGATGAGTATAGGCTGCAGAGCTGAGAAGGGCATGAGTATAGGCTGCTAGAGGTGAGAAGGGGATGAGTATAGGCTGCTAGAGGTGAGAAGGGGATGAGTATAGGCTGCAGAGCTGAGAAGGGGATGAGTATAGGCTGCAGAGCTGAGAAGGGGATGAGTATAGGCTGCAGAGCTGAGAAGGGGATGAGTATAGGCTGCTAGAGCTGATAAGGAGATGAGTTTCGGCTGCTAGACCTGAGAAGGGGATGAGTATAGACTGCTAGAGGTGAGAAGGGGATGAGTATAGGCTGCTAGAGGTGAGAAGGGGATGAGTATAGACTGCTAGAGGTGAGAAGGGGATGAGTATAGACTGCTAGAGCTGATAAGGAGATGAGTTTCGGCTGCTAGACCTGAGAAGGGGATGAGTATAGGCTGCTAGAGCTGATAAGGAGATGAGTTTCGGCTGCTAGACCTGAGAAGGGGATGAGTATAGACTGCTAGAGGTGAGAAGGGGATGAGTATAGGCTGCTAGAGGTGAGAAGGGGATGAGTATAGACTGCTAGAGGTGAGAAGGGGATGAGTATAGGCTGCTAGAGGTGAGAAGGGGATGAGTATAGGCTGCTAGAGGTGAGAAGGGGATGAGTATAGACTGCTAGAGGTGAGAAGGGGATGAGTATAGACTGCTAGAGGTGAGAAGGGGATGAGTATAGGCTGCTAGAGGTGAGAAGGGGATGAGTATAGACTGCTACAGGTGAGAAGGGGATGAGTATAGACTGCTAGAGGTGAGAAGGGGATGAGTATAGACTGCTAGAGGTGAGAAGGGGATGGGTATAGGCTGCTAGAGGTGAGAAGGGCATGAGTATAGGCTGCTAGAGGTGAGAAGGGCATGAGTATAGGCTGCTAGAGGTGAGAAGGGGATGAGTATAGACTGCTAGAGCTGAGAAGGGGATGAGTATAGGCTGCTAGAGCTGATAAGGGGATGAGTTTCGGCTGCTAGACCTGAGAAGGGGATGAGTATAGGCTGCAGAGCTGAGAAGGGCATGAGTATAGGCTGCTAGAGGTGAGAAGGGGATGAGTATAGACTGCTAGAGGTGAGAAGGGGATGAGTATAGGCTGCAGAGCTGAGAAGGGGATGAGTATAGACTGCTAGAGGTGAGAAGGGGATGAGTATAGGCTGCAGAGCTGAGAAGGGGATGAGTATAGGCTGCTAGAGGTGAGAAGGGGATGAGTATAGACTGCAGAGCTGAGAAGGGGATGAGTTTCGGCTGCTAGACCTGAGAAGGGGATGAGTATAGGCTGCAGAGCTGAGAAGGGGATGAGTTTCGGCTGCTAGACCTGAGAAGGGGATGAGTATAGACTGCTAGAGGTGAGAAGGGGTGAGTATAGACTGCTAGAGGTGAGAAGGGGTGAGTATAGACTGCTAGAGGTGAGAAGGGGATGAGTATAGACTGCTAGAGGTGAGAAGGGGATGAGTATAGACTGCTAGAGGTGAGAAGGGGATGAGTATGGACTGCTAGAGGTGAGAAGGGGATGAGTATAGACTGCTAGAGGTGAGAAGGGGATGAGTATAGACTGCTAGAGGTGAGAAGGGGATGAGTATAGGCTGCAGAGCTGAGAAGGGGATGAGTTTCGGCTGCTAGACCTGAGAAGGGGATGAGTATAGACTGCTAGAGGTGAGAAGGGGTGAGTATAGACTGCTAGAGCCGAGGGTGTGTCGTAGTCGTGTTAACAACGAGAATATGCTCTGCAATTTGGAAGAGAGACTTGACATCGGGAATAAACATTCCATGAATATATAAGTGAGTAAATGAATGTTGCTTTTATGACACAGTCAGCAATATTACGCGTCTATCATGGTGGGTGGTAACAATCGAGATTCGACCAGACAAACATGTGACTGGAGGCATGAGCCGGGCCATCGGGGCAAGATGACACACATTCAGCCATTTACAAGTCGGAACACCCGTATGTCCTCAGTGGAATGTTACTGGGAGCATTGGGGATATGTTGTCTCCAGAATTTCCACGTTTGCTTCGTTATCAAATAGGTTCAGTAAGGTATCTAATAAGGTATCAAATACATGTCATTGTAGTGAGGTATCAGATAAGTTCAGTAAGGTATCTAATACGTTTATTGAGGTATCAAACACATGTCAGTGTGGAAAGGTATCAAATATGTTCAGTAAGGTGTCTAATAAGTTTATTGAGGTATCAAACAAATGTCATTGTAGTGAGGTATCAAATAAGTTGGGTCAGGTATCTAATACGCTTATGAAGGTATCAAACACATGTCAGTGTAGAAAGGTATCAAATTCGTTCAGTAAGTGTCTAATACACGTACGTTTATTAAGGTATCAAACACATGTCAGTGTAGAAAGGCATCAAATACACTGGGTCAGGTATCTAATACACGTACGTTTATTAAGGTATAAAACACATGTCAGTGTCGAAAGGTACCAAATAAGTTCAGTAAGGTATCTAATACGTTTATTAGGGTATCAAAAACATTTTAGTGTGAAAAGGTATCAAATATGTTCAGTGAGGTATCTAATATATGAAATAGGGTATCAAACAAATGTCAGTGTAGTGAGGTATCAAATACGTTGGGTCAGGTATCTAATACGTATATTAAGGTATCAAACACATGGTAATGTAGTAAGGTATCAAATAAGTTTAGTAAGGCATCTAATAAGTCTATTAAGGGATCAAGTACATCTAAATTTAGTAAAGTATTAAATTAATTCAGTAAGGTAGTCAAATATGTTTAGTAACGTTTTAAATACATGTACATGTAATGTAAGCTTTCCAATAAGATGTTTAAGGGACAAACTCATGGGACATGGGATTTCGTATTGTCATCATCGCTAAGGCGTATTTCGACCTGTTAGTACATAATGTACAATTAGAAAATTTTGTCACATCACTCCACGCCCTCCGAGATACCATCCGCTATCACCCGATGCGATCATATTGTGAGACACGACGTATATTGACTGAAGGATGTGAATGACCCAACCTACCAGTTCAGAGCACCAGGCGCAGTTTCCTCCTGACGTCACACACTGGGCGCAAGTCCTTCCTTGACACGCATAGCAGGCTGCAACACACCACACAATACATAACAGTCTCTGGAATGAAAATATGTTTGTAAAGATATGTGTGGTTTAATTGTCTCTGGAATGAAAATATGTTTGTAAATGTATTTGTGGTTTACGTGTCTCTGGAATTAACATATTTTGGTAACGATTTGTGTAGTTATTTGTCTACTAATATATAATATAAATTAACCCAAAGAATACTTTTAGTTTCATTATTGCAGACTTGCTTGGGAGTTTTCGGATATTTATGTTTCAGAGGCTGCACGTATCACATCCCCGATGATCTTGACTGTTGGTGGCATTCGAGGCCTTTCTACTACTGCAGAGGAGGTCACACTCATACCACAAACAGACACACACATACTACACAGACACACATCGCAGACACAGATACACACCTTTACTACACAGACACAAATCACACATACATATACACACATACAGACACCACATAGACACATCACACGCACAGACGAACACCACACAGCCACACACACATACCGCACAGACACACACATACCACACAGACACACACCACACAGCCACATCACACAGAGATACATATACCACAAAGACATACATTACACATACAGACACACACACAGACACAGATACACATCACACGCACAGACGAACACCACACAGCCACACACACATACCGCACAGACACACACATCACACAGAGATACATATACCACAAAGACATACATTACACATACAGACACACACACAGACAAACACAGACACACATCACACGCACAGACGAACACCACACAGCCACACACACATACCGCACAGACACACACATGACACACATAAAGAAAAAACACAGACACACAGAAACACACACATGCCGCACAGTCACACACATATCACACAGACACACATCACACACACATACAGAAAAAAACACAGACACACATCACACACAGATACACACACATGCCGCACAGACACACATCAAACATACATACACACACACAAACATCACACATATACACATCCCACACGACCGCCTCCGTGGAGAGCGTCCGCCCGGAGAGCAGAAGGTCCGGGGTTCGATCCCCGTCCGCGTCATACCAAACGACGTTAAAATAAGGTACTTGTTGTTACCCTGTCTGGCGCTCGACATTAAGGGGCTAAAACAAGGAGTGGTCGTCTCGGAGTCAGTATACTGTGTCTGATTGGGGTACTCATCTTTAATTTGCGGCATGGTATCTCAGTGAGCTAGCACTATACATCGGCATCAGTCCGGACTAGTACAAGCAGACACACACACACACACACACACACACACACACACACACACACACACACACACACACACACACACACACACACACACACACACACACACACACACACACACACACAGACGCACACCATAGTTACAATTAACGTCTCGCGATACATCAGTTATATCTTATTCTTCAATAATCTTCACTTCGATATAGCAAGACAAATACATGAAACTGAAATATTCGACACAACCGATTTGGAATATAGAAGGCATACAAAGTGCACATGCCACTGATTACAGAAACACAGGTAACCATGGCAACGAGACCGGAAGCATAGCATAACGTATGTTATCACCACCTGCCATCGGAAATATATCTCCGGTTACTGACCACGCGAAATAAATCTGCCCATCTGTCATTATAGTAAAGAGACGGGGATTTATTTCATTAACGCCCTGCACCGAAAAGGCATGCTACGATAGCAGGTGCCGGTGCCTGTTCTGTCAAGGATCTCAGTTTCACATTTATCTGTATGAGGTCAATATGAGGTCATGACATAATTATTATATATTTTTTCAATTATTTCCACATATACAAATTATGTTGAAAAATAACAGCACGTTCTCGACACGCCAGCGCTACGCCAGGAGTTATACATTAATGTAAACGAATAAAGCTCCAACATGTCAGGTCCCTGGATGCGAACCACCTGTTCACCTACAAAGATACTTTAACACCTTATTGCTAGTAGTTTCCTCGATGGAATTACAGACAAGCCGATATATTATCATTGCACTGGAACATCTGATGTGTTAGAAGACAAGTTTGTGACCCATTAAGGACATTTATCACAGGAATATGAGTTTACAAATGCCAGACGCCATCTTCCCGAGGCAAGAAAGTTAACCGACTTTAAAGGTCCAGTTTCCACCTTTGCCGAACTAGGCTGGAATTCCTGGGCTCGATCGTAGCGCCACCAGTGGCTATTACGAGTTATGTCCTTTCTATGCCTCTCCTATTGACCAATCAGATTCAATCTCTCGTATCATTTGCATTTGCTTCAAACAAAACGGTGGCGTCCAGTCAAGACGATCTGATCGATAATAAAACGAGTCTTACATAGCGAAGTGCATCAAATCACGTGAGCACCTTGATTAAAAACATGAAAAGATTTAGAAAATATCTGTTGACAACGAGTTGGCGGTGCACATGCTTTGCAAATCCTGCAGTCGACCGAAATCTGCATGACACTTTACTAACCGGATTTCGATTTCGGTGCGCGATTTTGATTGGACTATGCATAGACTCGTTAGTCCAGCCAAAATGTAACTCCTTAATACCAGCCTTGTTCGGAAAGGGTGGAAACTTGACTTTTATAGTCAGTTAACTCACTTGCCTCGGGAAGATGGCCAGACGCAAGCTTCAAACAACAATATGTACCAAGATCTGTGCGGAGAAACCTGGTTGCTTAAACTTGGATTCGAACCACGTGCGGATCCCGGCGTTGCTACGCGACAAGTGATCCACTCGCGCCCTGTGTAAGAAGGTAGGAACTATAGTCTGATTTAACTGGTATTACAGTAAACTACGGTTATAACGAACTCAAAGAGACCACTAATGTTAGTTCGTTATAACCGTAGTTCGTAATAAGCATATGTACATCATATATACAGCAAATGGTCGGGACAAAAACAGTTCGTTATATCCGTCAGTTCGTTATAAGCGTGTTCGTTATAAACGAACTTCCCTTTAAAACACAAATACCTCAGAAAATCTTAATTGAGAAACATATGATAGTGAGTTGGTTTGTCGCCTCGTTGAAGATTGCTCGCCTTTTTGCGAACACCCGGTATCACAGCTATTTCATAATTATAATTATTCATCAATACATGTTTGTGATAATGGTCGGAATCGTACAATGGACTCTGCTTTTAGCTGGGACTTCTTGTGATTATAAAAAGAATTTTGTCACTTTTATATACCACTTTGGTGGAACTAACGAACACGGGGATACATATATATAAGTTATAATATACATATAACGAGGCGACAAACCCTTATATATATGTATCCCCGTGTTCGTTGGTTTCACCAAAGTGGTAAATGAAAGTGACAAAATTCGTAAACCAAGGATCATAATCGTACTGCATCTACTCGTGTTTACAAACAACGGATTCTGGCAAGCCGCTTGGTAGATTTGTGAGGCCTCTGGGGGCCTTTTGGTCTCCCCTGGCTTAACATTTGTTTTAAACATATGAATATAACATTAATGCACCCCGTGAAGTTCCGGGTCAGAATCCGTCTTCAGCAACTGATGCTTGTCGTAAGAGACGATTAACCGGGTCGGGTGGGCAATCTCGGTGACTCGGCTGAAGCATGTCGTCATATCCATATTGCGTAGATCGATGCTCATAATATCAATCACTGAACTGTCTGGTCCACGCTCGATTAGTTAGAGACCGTCGTCATATTGCTAGTACAGTATGTCCAAAGTGCAGCTGAAAATACTGTTAATAAAATGAAGCGTGTGGTTTGTGTTATGTGAAAACTATATAACGTCAGGGAATAATAATAATCTCGATTACAGTTTTCCACTGGGCGTGAAAAGTACACGAAGGGATCACTGAAAATTATTCATGACACCAGGTGTGCGTGCGTCAACATGTCCTACTCTACCAGTAGCACCCACCACTCATACAAATTGCATAAAAAGTAGTGTTTGTTTGTTGGTTGATAGCGCCCAGTAGTACTGACGTCACACGACGGGCTGTCCACATTCGAGGTTTGACAAGACACGAGTGAGTGAGTGAGTATGGTTTTACGCCGCTTTTAGCAATACTCAAGCAATATCAGGGCGGCGGACACCAGAAATGGGCTTCACACATTGTACCCATGACGGGAATCGAACCCGGGTCTTCGGCGTAACGAGCGAACGCTTTAACCACTAGGCTACCCGACCGCCCCTGACCAGACACGAGATGGACCAAGACACACGACGTTGCAGAATTGTTTGTTTGTTTGTTGTTTAACGCCGTACTCAGCAATATTCCAGCTATATGATGGCAGTCTGTAAATAATCGAGCCTTTACCAGACAATCCAGTGATAGATGTCGTGAGCATCGATCCACGCAGTTGGGATACGATGACATGCATCAACCAAGTCAGCGAGCCTGACCACCCGATCTCGTTAGTCGCCTTTTACGGCAAGCATGGGTTGAGGAGACCTATTCTACCCCGGATCTTCACGGGGCTGTGACATACATAGCGCGGCTGGCCCGAGACTAACATTTAGTCTATGAAATCTTATATCACACAATACCCTTCTCGACTCTAAAATTCAACAAATAATTTTCCCGATGCTGATTTGGCTATAGACTTGCTTTTGTATGTATATATCTAGATTGGTTTCTTTTCATAAATACATATATTCCATGGTGCAGGACCAGGCTAGCCCGTGCTCCAGCTAGAATGTCACGTCGCATATAAAACAAAGTTATACTCTCGTCCAATGTAGTTATATAAGGTTCACTTGGTTCAATACACTAGAAGCCATATTTACATTCAACTGTAATCGGTGCAGCACGTTCACATTAATAACAGCCTCGTCTTGATGATAATACGCATTTGCACTTTACATCTCTGTAACTAAAATCGACATAACCATTTCCAGAATCATAACAAATCGCTGCTAAAAGCAGAGTGCATTGTGCGATTCCGACATCCGATTCCGAATGTGTGCGATTCCGACAATGTCATAA